CCCCCCCTCCCTTCCCATTCCAAGATATGAAGGCCGAAAAAGAATAGTTGTACAGAAAAGAAATAACACAGAACACCTTTGGTTTGGGTATCATCCTTGAAGCCTTTCCTTGTTTCCCTTTCTCCATCCTCCTCCCTCCCTCCCCCCCTTTTCACCAGCCCGTCTAATCACTTTTCAGCAGGCTCGGTGGCTCTCGTTTCCCCAATGACGAAACGTACTCCCCCGATCCTCAGTCGCTGTCAAAGGGGTCGCTGTCGTTCTCGATCCCCCACCGCTTCTTTCCGAGCACGCGCTGCTTCCTCACGCCGGGGAGCACGTTGGCCCCCTTGCTCGGCGCGCGTAACGGCAGCTGGACCTTGGGTGTCAGCGCGATGCTGCCACCGCCGCTCCCAGCGCCGGCGTCGGCGGCGCCCAAGCGGGTGTTGCCGCTGGCGCTGCGGTAGCTCTTCGATGGACTGCGCAGCTGCTGCTCGCGGCGCAGCATCTCGACCTGGCGGCGCAGGGCGGCGTTCTCATCTTCCAGCTCGGCGATGCGCTCTCGATCCTGCTCCCTGCTGCTGCTGCTGCTGCTGCTACCGCCGGCCACCACCGGCCCACCCTCGTCGTCGTCGTCTCCTTCGTCCTCGTGCACCTGGATGCCCTTGGTCAGGATCTCGACCTTGCGGTCCCAGTGCTCCTCGCAGCGGTCGGCCTCCTCGTCCCAGCTGGCCTTGTACCGGCGCTGCAGCTGCTCGAGGCGGTCTTCGTACTCGGCGTACAGCTCCTCGCGCAGGGCGGCCTCGGCCTCGACCATGTTGTCCTCGGCGGCGCGCCAGCCGCGCTCGGCCTGGCGGCGGCGGTCGCGCTCGTCGCGCAGCTGCACGTGCAGCACGTCCAGCTGCTCCGCCAGCCGCGTCACCTCGGTGAGCGTGTTGTCCAGCTGCTCTTCTAGCGCCGCCACGACCGACGGCGTCATGCGGCCGCTGTTGCTGGTGCCGGGGCGGTGGTGTTGTTGAGTGTGCGTGCCCAGCTGCATCGTCGACGTAAGGGATGGCACTCGTGGGACCGTGACTTCGCGGGCGAGCGCCGAGTAGCGTAGGATCTGCGAGGTGGCGTTGTAGTCGCCAAGCGGGTCCGCGGTGACGACCATGATGGCCTTCTGCGGGCTGCGATGGCTGTTGTTGTGATGGTGCGAGCTGGCCGTCGAAGGGAACGAGTTGGAGAAGAGTAGTTCTGTCAGCTTGCACTGCCTGAAAGGCACGACATTGCGCTTGTTGCCGCCTTCGGCACTGATGTCGGACTGCATTTGCATGCACTGGCCCAGGTACATGAGCGATTCGTTGATCTTGCCTGCTTCGGCCAGCGTTTCGCCGGCTGTTTTGGCGTTTCGAGCACGTTCGGATCCTGTAAAGGTACTGTCAGTCGTACTTCTTGGTTTGATACAAGGAGTAGAAGTTACCGGCAAGGTCACAAACGGTCAGGGTGCTGCTGCTCCAAGGACCCCTGGTGGCTCTGTGGCGCTTCTTGACCTCGACGCAGAAAAAGCCGTGACTGCGGGAGCTGACGGCATTGCTGCCGGTACCAGTGACCTTTCTCTCCAGCAGTCCCGTCTCAAGCACCATAAGCGCCTCGTCCAGACTGCCGCAGATGATCTTCTTGAGGCCGGCAACCTGCTTGCGGTCGGGCGACTGCTCAGTCGGCTTGAACAGGAGGGCACGGCGGCGGCCGCCGTTCATGAGCTTGGAGCTCTGCGAAGCACCGGTGAGGAGGTCGAAGATGCGGTCGTTGTAGACTTCGAACATGGAGACGACGATGGCGTACTCGGCTGTCTGGTCGACGTCGATGGCGAGGTCGTCGACAGACGGATGGTCGGGCATGGTCGAAAGGCGCGGCATCTGGTGGCGTTGCTTGCTTGGGAATGCAGAGGTGCTGAGAAAGGAGCTGTTGCCGTCCTTTGTGGGTGATTTCATCTTAGCTGCTGCACTACGGGTGATGCGGGTGACGCCCTCTGAGACGAGAGGCTTGATGTTAAGAAATGGTGATTTGAGAGGTGATGATATCTTCTCATTGCCGAGCTGGCTGAGCTTTTGTACAAGACTGGGATACAGGCCTACTGAGGTGGGATGAGTGGGGGTGGTTGATGGTGAGCATACCAGTCCTGGTGTCTGCGCTCTAGACGTCGCATGGCTGTCCCCGTAGAGGGTGTCGAGGTAAAGCGAGGCGGGAAACAAGTGTGCTTCGGAGACATCGGCGGCGGCAATGGACGGGAAGGTCGACGACGAGGTGGCCGGGTCGACGAGCAGATCGCCAATGTTGGAGAAGAGCACGTCGAGAGCCATCTGCGTCATGCCGCGCTCGTACTTGGAACCCAAGATGGTGTGGCTCTATGCGCCATTAGATGCACGTCCAGGCCGTCTCCACAACTGTGCCATACCTTTCCTGAGCCGGTTACGCCCAAGGTTGCCAGAAGGCCATCGCGGCCTTCGCGGCCCTCGGGGCCAAGCACGCCCTCAATGAGCGGGATCAAGCCGGTGCCTTCAAAGACATCGAGCTGTGCGGCATCCTCTTCGAAGACTCTGGTGAAGGCGAAGCGCTCGATGGCTTTCTTGCGGCGGTCATTCTCCGGCGGCTTGATGGTGATGTGGTCGGGGAACTGGTTCTGCGGCTCCTCGACATCGAGAAAGCGGCTTCCCGCGGTGGCGGGCCGGAGGCGCAGGTAGACCTCGAAAAGCGATGAGTTTGCCATTGTGGTGTGTGACGAGGTCGTCGCCGTGGCCGCGAAATTGCGGGCAGAAAAGGCGAGCGAGTGGCAAAGCTGTAAACAAGGCGTTGGCACGACGACGGGCTTGGCGGCGCGTCAATCTACACGCGCCGTCATTTGACTTTGCCCATTGCAACCTCAACCCCCGCATCCTCAAGAATGCCCCGGTCTCATGAGAGTGACATTGGCTTGCGCTTATTGGATCCAAGTACAAACAGCCGAAATTCGCATCTGGAAGAATCCTTTGACAGCGATTCCCAGCTTTGTCAAGCCTTCATACGATTGCTTACTTCTTCCTTGAGCAACCGCGCATGGTGGTGGACCTTACTCAACGAAAAAGGCTGGACGCAGTTGCGTTTCGCGTCAGCCCGAGGCAGTGCAATACGGGCGACACCGTGGCCGGCGACGATAAGCGGAGCTCAGCGCGCCGCTCGGCCGGGTTCCAAAAACTAGTTTAATCAATAGAAATGCCCCCGTAGGGACGTTCTAGAGATTAAACTAAAAAGAACAGCTACTACACTTGATCTAAGCCAAAAGGCAAAGAGAGCTGAAGAGAGAAGGAAAGCCCGAATGCACGAGGAATGGGGGGTTAAGTAGGCGGGAAGAGGGAGAGATTGGAACATGCGCATGCGGCCGTGCGTGCAACGTTCTCCGGGGAACGGCAGGTTGGGGACGCGTGTCCGGGTGTGGCGGCCATCGTGGACAGGGCCAGCACAAACGCGTGGCTTGAGTTTGCGCGTGGTGGAAGCGGATTGGATTGGACTGGTTGCTCAACACCATGTGCACGAGCCTCATGATGCCCACCGGAAGCCATGCCATGCTGGGATGCTTGCACCTGCCTCAACAAAAAACTTCAGGAAATGTGATTGTCAAAGGTCAGTCACCGAGAATGGAAACAGCTCAATTCTGGCAGACAGTCCCTCGAATGTCGAAGTTGCGAATGGCATATTCAATGCCGCCATCTACTGCAGATGACACAAAAGAAAGAATAACCACCTGAGTTGAGATCAACGCGTGCTGCTTCAGGAAATTCAGCCGGTCCACCGCACACAGTCACGGGGGCGGACAAAAGATGTTTCTCATTATTATAGGATAAATCTACGCTCTCAATTTAAAATAGCCATAGGCTTCTCTGAAGGCAGGAATGATAGCCGGTAACTTCATAAGATGAGGAGGCTTGTTACGTGGATACTATATTACTCTAGGTCTCTTGAGCCGACGAATATGGTCCATGAAGAAGTATAAAGTATGAAAATGACAACCTCTCCGTTTCATGTCAACCAACACTGAAAAACTTTTATTCTACCCGTCCGTGTACCGATAAAGACACCATTTTCTACAAACCCATCTGACATGAAGGTTTCAAAACAACATGTAGATATATATATCAACTCCTTCCACACATATACTCCGAAGCCTCTATCAAAAGTCATAGATCAACAAAGGCAATCTTTTCAAGCCTACTACCACTGTCATTCCGCGATATCCGGTAGGGATCGCTTTTTCTCCTTCCTTTTTTTGTTAGCTGCATTGACCAACTCCAACCCCTCAAACACTACCACACTCCAGATGTAAAAGCCGGCTAAAATCGCAAGGAGTGGTATCAATAAACCCAGGTCAGAAAAGTTGGTGGAGGCGCTGATGGCAAGTAGCTGCGAGAGGATGAACCACATAAGGATGTAAAAGAGCAGCATGATGCGTGCCAGTGGGAGATCATGGACGCTTCCAGAGGCGGTCGTGGACGTGATCGTCAGACCATGTGACACAGGCTCCGCGGCGAATGCTGTTGTAGAGCTATTTTCTCCCAGTCCAACGAAATCGGCGCTTGGTGCTTCCTGGGAGCTGGAGGACGTCGAACGGCGATTCAGCATGTGGCGCTCGATCTCGTCCTTCACTTCTGAAGGGCGCATTAGAGCTGGATAATCTCGATGCACTCGTGAGGACTCGCTTACCGAAATATGCTTCCAAGCCTGTAAGGATGGGATAAGCCAGAAAAATGAGCGGGAGGATCTGCCCGAACCCCCACTTGTTGAGTGTCTCAGTCTCCTGGTCCCTACGATACGCGACGGGATAGTCCTTGCGGATCGATATTACTTGGCCAATTCCAAAGGAGGCGCCAAATAAGAGTCTGATGAGCTGCCACAGGAATGAGTTGGTGAAAGCTCGCTCGACAGCACCTGCGAGAGCAAAGAAATACGTGTACCACACGCAAAAGCGGCGCAGAAGTGGCCATTGCCTGAGGGGCCCATCACGGAGGCGGCCATCTACAGCTTGCATGACTTCCTCGAGTTTCCTCAGCGAGTCATCCTCGGCAGTCGGCTCGTCAAGCTCCAGGTGAAAAATAGAGGCGATTTGTCGGGTGAGCCAGCTATACGAAGAACTTGTATGCGTAGAATATATGGCGATCATTCTGCTCGAATAGGATTGGATGAGCCAGGCGATGATCAGGACCAAGTTGGTGATCTCGTATCCGTCGATGGGGGAAAGCTTGAAGGACTTCTTCAGAGCGCAGCCGAAATATATGTCGGTAGAAGAGTGCTGCACACTTTCTGAATTACTGATGATCTGGGCAGCAGCTAGCATGATCATCATCATGACCATCATGACAGCGCGGAAGTTGCGAGCTATCCGATGATGGTCAAAGTAGGCCCTCAGGAGGGTGAGGGTGGCCAGGTGGGTTGTGGAGGAGAACCAGGCAAGAGCAGCGGCAATCTGGAACGAGTAAATGGAGATGTCGCAAGACTTGGTGTAGATGGTGACCATGATGGCGATGCCGGTGACGAGCTGCTGGTCGCTCATGGTAAGAATGAAGCGTTCCAAGGCGGCCGAGCATTTTCTAGTCAGCGCTGCTGCTAAGTGTTTCTGGCGCAGGGATGTTGTGGAGAGACGGTCACGTAGCTTCGCAATACGGGAAAGACTTGGGCGGAAACAGAACTTCACAAAGGTGGTGACGGTCACGATCACAGCCTGGTCGACATGGTTCGTCGCGGTTCCCGGCAGGCATTCGCAAAGGTAGCCGATGATGATGGCCAGCAGAGTGAAGGCTGCGGTGAGAATAAAAGAGACAAGGACCTTGATGGGGGACTGCTTAGCATGGTTAAGGGAGAATAGGGTCCGGACTCACTCCGATGCCAGCGATATCAACGTCATAGGGGTTGTCGGTCTGGCAGTGTCTCGTTTTCCCGCAGTAGGTGTAGAGCTCGTCATATGAGTCGTTTGTGTAGGGGAGAGACATGTTGACATACAGCCATAGGAATAGGGCTGAGGGCGGGGTTAGGCGCACATGTAAAAGAAAGGAGGGGCTTGAGTCAAAAGGCTTGTTTAGGGTCCCGAACAGTCGATCAAAGGTTAATTTTTCTTGGCGCGCACTGGGCTTCAAGTGCTGGCCCTGGCTTCAAAAGTCAAGGCTGCAATCCGCCTTGCTCTTCCCTCAAGCGCCTGCGGACATTCATCAGAGCTTTACCCAAAAGATTCTCGCCCCAGTCGTCCCGGAGGCCATCTGCGTGCTCGCGGCTGAAGCCTATACCCCAGATCCGGTCGTACGGCGAAGCCTGTAGTAGAAATGGTCAACCTCGGGTCTTGCAGGAAGGGCGGGTCTGGGCGCCACCTCAACCAGCTCCCTGTCCCCCGTCGCGAGCAGCCGATCTCGTAGCTGACTCTGTTCCTTGCTGCTGGTGAATTTCCACCAGTTGCCCTCCTCGACGATGCGGCTCTTATCTAGGAACGAGTGTCAGCACGAGCCACCTTCCTCTTGGTGGGGCCATTTACGCTCGTCCCAGACGTCGTGATTGAAGTTTTTGACTTTCCTTCCGAGCTTCTTGTGCTCGGCCGGGGTGGGAGCTGCGAGCATCTGGTTGGCTATCGCCTGTGTCGACGTGAGTGGTAGGCTCCAGGGGCATCCCGCTCTGCACACGCACCGCGTCACCGAAGAGCTTCGCCTTCTGCACCATCATCCACATCTCGGCACTGCGGTACGTCACGCCCTCGTGTTGGAAGGCGCAATCGTACCATTGCGAAAGAAAGCCGTACGGCTCGTCGTACTCGCGCCAGAAATAGATGGGAGATTTGTCTGCATCCGAGCCGAGGATTGTGGACGACATGTTGTTGCAGGCAATGGTAAGAATGTGGTGTTGGGCCGCAGATGAACGGGTCGTTTTGCTTTTGTTGCAAGACACCGGTAGCGGACGTGACGCCGCACGTCGGTGTCCTAAACGGGTTGGATGGCGAGTCTGTATTTCGAAGGAGCGTGTTCGAGGGAGGGCGATGACTGTAAAGGCCTCTTGACGTCATACACACCGTTTACGGCAGGCATATATACTTTACGGCAATTTCAAGCCCAGGCATCTCGCTCTCGAACACTCACCGAACAAAGCTTTCTAGTAGCGGGCCGCATTCGACGAAAAGCAAGAACTCCATCTGAGCAGTTCGGAGACCTGCTCTGAGGAGGATAATCGGGCGTCATCACATATTTGCGTCCACGAACGTAGATGCCCAGGGCGAGATCTTCTGCGCCGTGGCCAGCGTCAGGTGCGTAATGGAGCGAGCTCTGCCCTGCGGGACGTGCAGAGTATGGTTCGGCGATGGGTTGTCGGCATTTCAGCCTGCTGGCGGCACAAGTAATTAGAACCTTATGGCGAGATTGATCCGGTACTCTTGCGAAACGTTTTCGTGCAGCTCTGGGGGGGTGCGCATCTGAGCCGCCTGACCGTCGCATTTTACCGACATCGTCGTGTGCATTGATGTTGAGCGAGAGAGGTGTTGTGCAGCAAACGGGGGTGGAAGGCTGGGAAGACGCGACACACGTGATCGGCAACTATTAAGCAGCTTCAACACCATCCCTTCATCCATGTTCAGCGCTATCGAACGCGCTGCGGCCTTAAGCCCTGAGATGTGGGTACTTGGGACGCCTATCATGACTCGCTCGGAATTACTCTCCGGCTATCAGCGGCTTGCATAGTCCACCGTGCCCCGGAAAAAGTAGCCAAAAGGCAACACCATCAAGCAACAAATAAATGACGCAAAAGCAAATGAAGCATGCATGCCACGGGCAACCTTCCGTCTTGCAGGGAGGTGCGTATGCAGGCCAACCGAAGCAGTTGCACCAAACAAGAAAAGCAGGCCCGACCCGGCCGAACCGAGCCAAGGAAGGAGACCGAGGGCAAGGGTGCCACGCGAGACTTACGTTTGCTATCGATTCCTTCTTGTCCATTCGTCCGCGGCAACCGCTGCTTTGCAGTACTGTTAGCCGCGATCTCCATCCCCAAACACCGAGAATGCCGCCGATAACAGGCTGCCTGCCTGATGCAATAATGCGAAGCTAGCAGAACAAGAAAATCACCATGCAGAGCAGTGCCAGGATGTGTGGCGCAACTCAAGCACCTGAGTCGCGTCTTGGCTGCGACGTTGCATAGCCAAGTGTAGCGATGTAGCCGCCGTCAAATCCGAAATGCGGAAAAGGCTTGAACACCGCTGATCTGCAAGGGTTCTCGCGTATTGCAGCAATTGCTGGCGAGGATGTGCAAAAAATATAGGTCGGGGTGATTGACCGTCGGTGAAGGTTGCGGCGGTGTGAGTGACAAGGTGCGGGATTTACCAACTTTGGCAGATCTGGGGACGGTTGTGGAGGGAGAAACCACGCACTGTGGTCTGTTCACGAGCGGGCCATCACCATCACGGGCGAGAGGAGATCAGAAATATTGGTAAAAACTAGATTTTGGGGCTGGCCGTCAATCGTGAGGGACCGTTGGTCCCAAAAACCTTATAATCTATCTTGGTATACTCTTCAAACTGAAGTAGAAAATAAGTAAAAGAGAAACGCCGTTCCGTCTATAGCGTGAACACTGCCAAATAATAAAACCGAAAAAACGCATCACCATCCTTTGAATAGGAGCGGGTACAAGAAAAGGACTTTTTGCGGGATCGGGCTCCGCCCGTTCCCAGCCGTGGGGGTATCTTAGCGCGAAGGAGCAATTTACTCGATGGCGGAGCCCTCGTTGTGCAGAACGGGGTTGATCTTGTCGTCAAACTCGAACTTGAAGTCGTCGCCCAGCTCGCGCTTGAGGGCGGTCTTGACAGCCTCGAGGACGTTGACGAAGACATCGACCGAGGCCGGGTTCTCGTCATCGTTGCCCTCGCCCTGGTAGACACCAGTGCGGACCAGGCAGGTGTTCCAGCCGTACATGTTGCCACCGATGATGTCCGAGGCCGGGTTGTCACCGATCATGTAGATGTTCTCGGGCAACCTCTCCTCGCCGTGGATCTGCTCCATCCAGGAGGCAATGACCTCGTCAGCGTACTTGTAGGTAGCCAACTCAGGCTTACCGTAGACGACACGCTCAAGATCGGCACCGGTGAGCGCCTTGTACATGGCCTCGAGACCGATGCGGAAGGCACCCTGGGACATGCGGGGAGTCCAGTGCTCCGAGGGGCAGAGGAGATCACCCTGGGAGAAGTAGATGGGGATGCGCTGGGAAACGGGGTCCTTGGCCATGGTGCCCAGGCGGCCGTTCTCGCTGCGGAGAAGGTCCATGATGATCTGCATGTCGGTGGCGTAATCGCGGGAGTCGGAGAAGACCATGATCGCCTCAATGTTGGTCTTGCTGAAGTCACGTGGGCGGGACGTCGCACGTTCCTCCTCGGTGAAGACGCGGTAGGGGGCGATCGTGGGGTCCCAAGCGACGATGTCATTGGGCACGACAATGTCCTTGAAACCGTACTGCTCGGCAACCTCACGACATTTGTAGCCCTCACCACCAACAATCAGGACGGTGTTGTAGTACTCGGACAGCGCACTCATGGGAGTGTGCGACTGAATGAACTGGTCGGTCGAAACGGGGTTCTCGAGAATCTTGGAAAGCTGCTCGCAGCGCGCAGTCTCGGGCTTGCCAGAGCCGTTGGTCAGGAAGATGTGGGGAATCTTGATACCAAGCTCGTTGTCGCCGTTCAGAATCTGCAGCGCCCTCCTGCCCTCAGGAATCAGGCGGTCACCGTGAACAAGCACACCGTCAATGTCGAAGGCGAAAGCCATGTTCTTGGCCTTCTTGACCTTCTCCGAGGACATGCTCTGCACCTGCGAGGCAAGCAGCTCGCGAGTGGGTTGGATCGCGGGCATGCCGGGGCGGGCCGGGCGCTCGCCCTCAGGGTAGTGGACCGAGGACAGGCGAGACTGCCTCTTGGACCTGGGGATGGGAAGAGCGGCGCCGAAAGAGTTGCGCGAGGCCCTCCTCTCCTTCATGGAGGGCGAGACGCTCAGGTTGTGCATGTACTTCTGAGCCTCAGAGATGGAGGAGCGGGTGGCGGGGACCTCGACGGGACCTTCATCGTCTTGGCCAGGAATGGGGAGCTGGCTGTTCTTGCGCAGCTGCGAAGGGCTCGTGGGAGCCTGAACCCCGAAGTCAGAGTCCTCGTAAGCAGGCATGGTGACTGAGAGATAATGGGGTCAAGTGGAGATTAGGAGGAAGATGACGAAGGGTGAACAAAAACGTGAGAGGTCGGCAAGAGAGGGAGAGGTGAGCTGAGAGTGGAGCAGGCTCAACGTGATGCAGGCGCAGGTATATATTGCACGGCGGACAGGGCGAGCCAGAGTACTCTCCCGTACCTCTCCGGGTCGTGCTGCCTCCAAGCTCCACCGGTGTCATCATCGCGCCGCATCACGAAAAAAGGGTCCTCGCCAGTTCCATTCGAGATAGCAGCGACGGGGAGGAAAAGCGGATCCAACAGCGGGCACAGCTTACCGCAGGCGGTTCCGCGACCCTGGGTGGCGCGCCCGGGGCCCGGCCCTTGCAGAGACATCCTCGACGTGTCGGCTGCGAGTGGCCAGCGAGCGTTTCATGGCGGCGATAGCAGGTGAAGCTTGGGGACGATCTGACGTATCTGCGCAAAAGTCTGTCCGAAAAGCGCCCGGGGTTCGCTGCGCGCACGAGCAGCCAAGGGCGGTGGCAGGGGGCCGCCGTCCGCCCACGCCCTGGTCGCCTCGCAGCCTCCGCCGCCGCCTGGCGGGAACGGCGCAGCCCACCTCAACTGCCGTACCGTTTTCGCCCGGTCCGCGCTGCTGAAATTACTGAAATTATTTTTTTTCCCTGGGACCCTTTGTCCGCGCCGCATTTCGCCGGCGCCGGCGCTCGCCCTACCCTGCCCTACGGCTCAGCGACGCCGCTGTGAACACGCGCCGGCGAAACTCCCCACCTTACGTCAACTGTATGAAAAGCGGGCTTTCACCCGAAGGGCCCTCTCGGCGCGCGCTTTGTGCTAGTGGCGCACCGGGGTGCTGCTGGCGCCTTTCCCAACCATCCATGCTCAGATCCACCCTGACATCATCCATCCTGGGTGGGGTGCGCTGTTGTAGCAACCGCCCTTCGCTGTTTGCGCCGCGTAGCCACCACGGTGCGCGCTCTTGACAACACGCCCTACGTATTAATCCTGCATATGGCGCTGCCACGTCCTGCCCGCGCGCTTTCATCGCTTTTCATTAACACCGCACGCACGAGGTTGCTGACCGCTGCTCCTGCATCTGCACCCTACTCTTTCTGCTACCCCACCACCGCAAGACTCTTCCGCACATCAGCCAGAATGCCTTTCGGTCCGCTCAAGGAGGTCTCCAACCAGACCGTCTTCACCCTCAACAATGGCGTGAAGATGCCCGGTGTCGGCTTTGGCACCTTCGCCAACGAGGGCGCTGTCGGCGAGACGTACAAGGCCGTCACCCACGCCCTCAAGGTCGGCTACCGCCACCTCGACTGCGCCTGGTTCTACAAGAACGAGAGCGAGGTCGGCGATGCCATCCGCGACTTCCTCAAGGAGAACCCCAGCGTTAAGCGCTCCGATCTCTTCATCTGCACCAAGGTGTGGAACCACCTGCACGAGCCTGAGGAGGTCAAGTGGTCGCTGGAGAACTCGCTGAAGAACTTCGGCCTGGACTACATCGACCTCTTCCTCGTCCACTGGCCCATTGCCGCCGAGAAGAACGAGGACTACATGCCCAAGATTGGCCCGGATGGCAAGTACGTCATCAAGAAGGAACTGACTGAGAACCCGGAGCCGACGTGGCGCGCGATGGAGGAGCTGTACGAGGCGGGCAAGGCCCGCGCCATCGGCGTCTCCAACTGGACGATCGCCGACCTGCAGAAGATGTTCAAGTTTGCGAAGGTCAAGCCCGCCGTCAACCAGATCGAGATCCACCCCTTCCTGCCCAACGAAGAGCTCGTCAAGTTCTGCCAGGAGAACGACGTGCTGCCCGACGCCTACTCGCCGCTCGGCTCGCAGGACCAGGTTCCCACCACGGGCGAGAAGGTTCGCACAAACAAGACGCTCAACGAGGTTGCCGATCGCAGCGGCCACACGCTGGCTCAGGTGCTGCTTGCCTGGGGTCTGCGTCGCGGCTACGCCGTCCTGCCCAAGAGCTCGACGCCGTCGCGCATCGAGAGCAACTGGCTGGTCCCCAGCCTGTCTGACGCCGACTTCGAGGCCGTCAACAGCGTGGCCAAGGGCCGGCACACGCGCTTCGTCAACATGAAGGACACGTTCGGCTACAACGTGTGGCCCGAGGAGTCGGTCGAGGCTGGCACCTCTGTTGCTTAAGCGATATACCACGATGTCATGTTGAACAAAAAGTTGCGAAGGTTGGATGATCACAGGCTGCTGTGGTATCCTATCGGATAATACCCGTGGAGGAGGACTAGTTTGTTTGGAGGAGCTTGCAATGACGATAGAGCAGCAGGCTAGCTGCATTCGCACTTACTCGTCGGTGACGCCAGCATGACAATGGCGTATCCAAAGATAGACTCACGGCCGACCAAAAAATTTAGAGCGTTTACTACTCGGACGGCGCCTGCCATTCCCAGATCCTTTGGTGCGTGATTGAAGCAGCTGTGCCTGCCAAGGCTTATGCACGCATAAGACGGGCGGCGAGCTCCGTGGAAGACCCAATGGCTGTTGAGGAGATGCAGGACGTGTTCTCAGCTAATAAAACGTCGGTTGCGAGCGTCGAACGAGGGGTGGAGCGCGGTCGTCTCCAGCGGGCTAGACGCGATTGGGCCTAGGAGCACCAGTATCGGCTCATCGGCTGATTCAGACGTTTGGGGCGCGTCTCCACCTGGGGCGATGAATGCTCGATCGCGGCAGCGCGTTTGAAGGCGCCCCGGCAGCTCTAACGTCCTGCGTCAGCGTTGCAGCACCGATAATTCGCGCAGCAAGAGGTTGAGGTCGACGAGCCAAGCGCGGGCGGGTGGGCTTTCGGTGTGACGTACGGCCAGCCAGGCTGCAGGCCAAGAGGACCGCCAGGGGTGCGCCTGCCACCCGCTGGCGCAGATCTGCCTTGGCTCAGCCAGCAGCCCACAGAGCCGCGCTTCGGCCCAGTCGCCTTGTCTTGCCGTCCGTGGCCTTACGTCAGCACCCCAGGTCACGTGGACGACCCTCGAATCTTCGACTGCGCAGCCTGGACGATTGCCATACCATCATCGTCGCCGCCCGTCTGGGCCGTGGCCACCGCGGGGTACGACGCAGTTTCTGGAACCGCTTGGCGTACGCAACTCGAGTGCGGAGAAGGCCGCTGCTGATCAGAACGGCTTGCGTCAGGCCCGCGCGATTCCCAGCCGCCGTCTTCGAGAATCTCACGATCCTGACTGACGCTGGTCCGGCACACTGACATCACCTCCAGCAGCCTCCCGCTCTGCCCGCCACCACCAGCCCGCGGGATCGTTGCGGTACGCCTGGGTACTTGCTGTGCTGCCCGCGGCTCGGATTTACCTCCGTTGCAGACGTCCTCTAACCTTACCTCTGCAACTTCCTTATCTTTGCAGACGCACGACTTGTCGCACGGCTGAGCCACTTCACATGCCAATATGCATCCATGTGCATGCTGCATTTCCGTGTTATGGCTGGGATCGCCGATAAGCGTTCCAACCTCCCTTGTCGTACTCGAAGACCGGTCAGCCATCAGCGGACAGTCAAAGATGCAGCTCCGCGTCTGCAGAGGAAAGGTGTGTGCGCACGTTTCTGTTGCTGCCGATTGCCTCAGCCGTTTCTCCACAATGGATGCAGAGAGTACGAAAACAGACCGTGCTTCGACTGGAATGGAACCCTTTGCGGAGACACAGCCCTGAGATTCCCTTTTCTTCTGCCATCCCGCGACAACCGCCCTCGACATGCTCGTTGCGCCGAAACGGTCGTGCTCAAACGCTTGGACGCTGCTGCCAATAGTCCATCTGCCGCCTCACCAAGTCGGCCGCTCTGCGCCACTGTTTCGGGGCATCCTTTGAGCAGTAATGTACGTGCGCCTTCGCTGAGGCCTGCTCGTTCGTGGCACCATATTTTGACGCCGCGTCGCCCCGGAAAGTCATTGACTTTGGACCAGTGCTTCAGCGGTCTGTACGATTACACGGGCCGTTGGCTGCCTCTGGACACCATGCCAAGCAGACCCGCCAGGCTGTCACCGCCTTTGACAATTGTTCGGCTGTCCCTATTATCATATGCAGGTACGGAAGGCCTCATGCTGATATTGACTGCGCACAACGTCTGTGATCGCCCTTTTCGGACCTTCTCGCTTGTCGAAATGCAACCGTTTTTGTCTTGTGCATTCGTTAATGATCATCATGGCAAAAATGGCAATGCATGACCAAGCTCTAGAAAGACGTGCTTACCGTACTATTACTCCAGTTTGTACATGTCGCGCCGCACTGCATTCACAAGACATCTGGTGGTGACTATCAGCAGAGCTTGATAGATACAAGAAAATACTGGGAAGCCTCCAGAACTGCCACAGTAAGTTAAAATTCAGGTTCAACAATTCTATACTGAACGAGGGGGTACGCTATTCTTTTTGTAGGTTCTGATAGGAATGCAACTGAGAAAACAAATTGTCTCTGCTACAATAAACAGATATGCTCGCACAGTATTGCAGCAATGGATAGGAACGTACATGGATCACTCGCAAAAATATTACCGTACCAATGAAAGCATTTGCACGCCCGCATGCTTGGTATCCTGTCACGAGGGGGCAACTCGTAAAATCTCTCAAACATCATAGTGAGGCTCACTGATCGCCAGGCCGCTATTTCCTCCTCCATCGATGGCGACTTGTAGAACCTCTCAACACCACGCCAAGGCCACACTTTCTTCCCGGCGCAGCGATGCGCGGCACCTCTCAAAACACACCGAATACGGACAAGGCCCACGTAAAATATCGGAGACCCACACGCCGCCCACGTCAGCCCGACCCAGATGGCTCCACATTACCTCAAAGCACCACCTGCCCGCTGGCACGCGAACCGGAACGATCATCCCATCCAAGATACCTTTCTCTCCCGGGCCATGCCGATAGTCGCGGCTACATATGAGATCTCCAAGACTTTGCTGTGCCCACTCATTGCTAGAAATTAGCTACGCAAACTCATCATTGGGGAGAGAGACATTCCCCAGCGCAAATGGGATTCATTCGGAAAACTAAGAACGTTGTGCTGACCCGAGCTGTGGTTTTTGGCTACGCCGACAGATGCTTTCTGACCTCCCAAGAGACCCAGAAAACCGATGCGTTGCCTTTCTAGCCGTTGTTCATACTGTAATCAGCCACATGTATGTACATACAATTTTACCGAAAAGCGGTAAGGTAGGCATGAAGTGTTCCTCCAACCCCCCCTTTTTTTTTTGGCTCCTCGTTTCAGCCGACCACATTTCGTATATCGGATGAATACTTGTTTCCAGTTCCATTTATGGGAACCTCGGGATAGGTTTGATCCGAGGTGTTTGCCCGTACGAGTGTGCACGGGAGTTGAGTAGCACCACACAGCCTGGTGCTTGTGCGTCCTTACACAAGATGTCGGCGCAGTTTATGGTGTGACGCGCGGGCATCGAAGCAGTGTAGTCAAGGATAATGCGACGGCGAGACTCAAATAGAGTAGTAGGGTTTGGATTTGGCCGAATTACGCGGACGTGTTTCGAGACGTGTGTTATCTGACGCGTACGCCGAGGCGATGAAACCCAACTCAGCCTGGAGTGAAGAGGCACATAGGAAAGAATCTGGAACAGCGCCAGATGTTGCTGCATTTACTTCCCCAGCAAGGTTTCCCTTGGTTGATTCATCTGTTCCCTCCTTCCTTGAAACCAGTTCCGCTTTCTGTGCACAAGGGCTATTCTTTTTGTCATTCCGTTCTTCGCTGCTCGCACCCGGTCAGCATGAATCCCTAACGTTTCTTGTCGTCAGATATGTGTAAGAAAAAATTGTGGTGTCTTACTCCTTATGTTCAGAGTTTTCAGCTGTCTCAGGATTTCCATTTGTACCCTGCATGGTGAGCAGCCACAGTACCTATTTACAGTCGGTTAGCGCAAGCAAGATAAAACCAAGGTATGCAAGCAAAACCATCTAATGTCCAGCATGAATATTAAGCATAAAAGTGAGAGAAAGCCCCTGTATACCCAAAGGCGAAACTTTCTTTACTTCGGCTTCTGATCAGGTGTTCAGGTTCGGACGAGCGGTGTGAGGCCGTGAATTCCCTTAGCCAATACCCAGTCTTGTATTATTAAGGCTCCAAATTAGAGCTGGCCTGCCTACTTGGGATATGACCAGAGTATCCTCCAGTGTCTTTGTGAGGGAAAGGAGAACTGTTAGCACGAGCCTCGAGTACGATACGAAAGAAAAATAAGTAGGTCGATCTTGAATGCCTTCATGATAGGCCAGTTCATCATCGTTTCATGAAGCGAAACTTACGAAAATGTGATTCATTACCAGCCATTGACAATAGTAAATAGCCGAATGCTAAGCAAGAAATCGATAAGATGTCCTAAATCTCGTCCTCGATAGCCTTCAGAGCGCAAGTTGGTGAGGTAGCCGCCCTCAACCTAGCTGGTCTAGGAAACTATACGACAAAGTACCGTCTGAAGCACAACCAAAGGGATGTTACAATAAAGCGTCGTTAAGGGGAACATGAATCCATTCCGTTCTATCTCAAGGTCGAATAAAACCAAGCAGCACGAGCCGTCCATTCTCCCGGTACTCCATCTGTGCTTTCCATCCACCGGGCAACCGTCATCGCCACCAAGCTTCTCTTCCCATGAAATTCCTTTGCCAAGGCAAATTTCTGTACGAACAGTGTGAACAAGGGCAAGGCCCTTGTAATATGAAAAGGAAACAGTATCTCTTTCAGAACAAACCACCGCAATCAAACGTCAAAGTCAAAAGTTGACTGTATGAGAGAAACATTTGGGGCACTCGGAAAAGTGTGGGGAAACTGGGGCTGTTTGGTGCTGTTGTGGGTGATGTTGCGAGGGGGAATAGCTACCTAACTACATACAATAATAATTTACCTAAGTCGAAAACCCAATGCGCTCTCTTTTCTTGAACGAAGTTCAGAGCGTCAAGTCAGGTCCCATTCCATCTCTCCAGTAGTGTGCCCGATTTTTTTTGGTCCGTTCATCCGCGCATGCCAAATAATGAGAAACTTTCTTGGTTCACCGTAATCAAAAAGAAGGGGAGAAATTATCAAACGCCGAGGTGTGTGGGAATGCGCGCTGCGAGAACATCAAATAACTTGAGAGTAGGGACAGCTTTGGTCCCCAGGACACGGTTGCAAGGTGTGCTCAGTCAATGCCCAGACAGTATGGAGGTACTCAAGCAATCGTCGGCGGGTTGCCATTAGCAAGTTCGGCCTGCTGCTGGGCAATAACATCGGCTTGGTGGACCGCGCCTTGAACCACTTGCTGCTCCTCGGGGTTGAGATCCTTGGTTAAGGTCTCATATAGCTGAGGCTGCTCTTGCTGCAGGTCTATTTCCTTTATTAGTAATGGCGCAAGAGAGCAAAAGGCGTTTACGTACTCAAGAGAGCGGTCTTGAACAGACCATAGGGCTCGAGCTTATCCAGGGGCGTTTCGAGAAGGCTTTCCTCCTCGAGCTCATCGTCGTCTTCATCGCTGATAACGTTGAACTTCTGGGCCTGCAACATCGTTAACTGTGCTCTAATCTTTCTTGATTTAGCGCATCGTACCTCCTCATTGAGGAACTCGAGGTATGCCGTGCTCTCATCCTTGATGTCTTCGGCTTCGTCACCCTCGTTGGCCCAGTCGCCCTCACCCTCCCACTCCTCGTCTTCCTCTTCGTCCTCGAATTCTTGGCTGAAGCTAAAGTCCTCCTCGCGCTTGGCTTCCTCACGGTCTGCGAGTTTAGTTAGTAGAGCACAAAACCATGATTGCGTTGGAACACTCACTCTTCAGAGCAGCAGGAAGCGTCTGGAAAAGCCTCACAATGCCGTTAAGGAGACGAGCCCATCCAGCCTGTACGCTGACAGGAACCTCCTGGGCATTCAAGGTCAGAAGGGCGGTAATAGCAGCAATGGAAAGCTTCTTGTCGTGAACTCGCGTGAAGCTGTCGATGTTGGAGAACCAGAGGCTGAAGAACTTGTTGGTCCAGCCATTACTCTCCAGGACGTGAAGAGAGAGACGAGGGTTGTAGTAGATGCAGTTGATGACCATTTCCATCAAGTGAATGCGGTACGACTTGACCTTGGGCTCATCGTTCAGCAAGACATGCATCGAGAGCTGGATAAATTCGGGAATAAAGTCGTCGATGTGGCCGCGCATAGTCAGCATCAAGATCTCAGCGAGCTTGCAGCCGCAGATACGGTCCACGCCGCCGACCTTCTCATCCTTGAAAATAGTGCGAATCATGTCGACGATGGCCTCAAGGTAAGCGCGTTGAACGACAAGCGTCTCATAGCCATAGGTGACAAAGTTCTCCAAAGCCGGAAGCATGTCTTAAGTATTTGATTAGCATATGCTTTGAGTAAGCAATCATTTTGAACTTACCCTCTAGGTAGAGTTCTGCACCGGCTTTGAATGTCCTGTGAATCAATTCAAAAGCCTGCCACATCGTGTTGGAGATGCTCTTCGCGGCGAATGTGCAGCTGTCGATGATCTCGAAAACCTCGTTGTACAAGTCTGGGGGGGAAAAGTCAGCTTCATGGAGCAGCGGGGGTGGTGGGGGCCAAAAACATACCATAAAGCTTGTTCTCCAGAGTGATCGAGATCACTGGCATGAGAATGGTCTCGAGGTGCAGAAGAAGCTCCGGTGTGCTTTCCAGAGTCAGGATGAGCGTGCCGATAGTCTGCAGGACACCAAGAGCAGTAATGCTCTTGTCGTCGAGGTAGTCACCAAAATCGTCGTCATCCTTCTGCTGATTCCGCTCAAGCAGCTCGCGGACAATGCGAAGATACGTATCCCTCAGCTGTTCGCTCAGTGCAACCGCGAAAGGAGTCAGCTCGGCAGCGAAAACCTCGACAAAGTCCTCCATCACGTTGGCAAGAGCATCAACGTCGACCTCATTAGCAAGCTTCAAGAGCTGCTGCATGACCTGAGGAATGTTCTGCTGCATGGAAGTGCGAATAACATCGTGGCGAATGAGTGGCTGAAGGGCGAGGGCAGCCTCGACACGGACCGGCAGAGCAGGGTCGGCCATCGATTCCAGGATGTTCCTGTAGATGACGATGAGGTTGTTCTGGTCCTTGAAATCAAGCTGCTCAAACTTCTCGAGCGTATCGCATGCGCGAGCGCGGAGGAAACCGTGGGGACTTCTAAACTCGGGAAAGACGTGACGAACAAAAAAGTATTCGACCTGATCGGCAATCGGACTCTTCTTTCCAAGAATAACGGGAGCGAGAGTACCAATCATGCGCAGCGCGCCTTCCTTGTGGCGCGGGTTCTTCTGGTCATCCGGGGCAGATTCGTACTGGCTAACAATGTTGTTGATGTAGTTCAGGACGGTGAAGGTTTGCTTTCTGCGGGCCTTGGTAAGGGTGACGAGGAAGTTCGTCGCGGCAACATCCGGCGAGGAAACTTCTTCGTAGAAGTTGAGTTTTCGGTGCAGATATTCTTGAGGGTCGGTCTCGAACAGCTCAATATCCTCGTCCGACTGGCAGAGAACAGGGAAGATAAGGTGCGAAATGAGACCTTCCAGATGGGGCTTCAAGTGATTCCACATGGACTTCGGCCTGACGCATTCGTCTAGAAAAGCCAAAGTGTAGGACAAGCAAGCCTTGCTCAACCAGGTCGTCTTGGCCACCCACTTTTCGATCTGCTGCAAGTAACCCTTGAGGATCTCCGGGGCGAAGTTCTCGAGGAAGTTCTTTGCAACTGCCGAGTAATCGATCTCGTTGCTCTTTCCAAGGGTTTGGGGGTTTCCATATCTGTGCAGGGTGGATGAGCGAAAAGAGTGCCCCAGAGAAGAAATGGGCGCATACCTGACGAATAGCCTATTCAAATTGGCATAAGCCCACTTCTTTGCCTTCCACCAGTGGTTTGTTTCACGCTCCTCAAGGTCCTCAGACATCGCGCTCGGAGGGGCTTCCTTGGCGACCACGTTTAGGAAAAGAGTGCACCAACCGACCATGCTCGGCTGATCGCGGAGCGGAACGGGCAGTTCAAACTAGCAAAAGTCAGCTCAGGAATGCACAGGAAGCGTGGGCACACTGACGTAGATGGCGTGCTTGTAAACCTTGAGGATAGTCCGTAGCATCTCGCCAGCCTCCAGACTGGTCTCGTTGACGAGCCTCGTGCCGATGTTTAGTAGCTGCGGGAACGTAACCTGCACGATTCCATCAAACTCCGCCCTGTCCTCGTTGCCCTTGAAGCGGTATATCCGGCAGATAGCGAGCAGGCACTGGATGCCGGCAAAAACCGAGTTCGCGTCATTTGCGTTGAGAAGCTGCTGAGTGATTTCGAGGAATTCGGGCCACTTGGAGGGGAAATCGAAGGCGAGAATCTTCTGAAGGGTGGGGATAAGCTGTGCGCGGATGGGCGGCGAGGAAGTGGCGAGGACGGGCACAAGGCGCTTGCGGAAGTTTGCCTTCTCCTCCTCGGGTATGGGCTTTGCCTGCGAGTAATCCTCGGCGGGCGACCAGCCCTTGGTTATGCGGTTCTTCAGATAAACGACGGCTGTGCGGGTGGATGGTTAGCGGGCGGCTTGGGCATCAGAGCGGGGGCGGCGTACTGGACAGGCGCACGCCAGCATCCTGCTCGGCCTCGAGAATGTTCAGCAGAGCGTCGGGGAAACCGGGCTGGTCTTCTGCCTGGGCGGATGTCAATCAAAATTTCTCAGCGGGGCTCGTCGGCGCGGGCGCACATATTTGAGGTCGATTTCGGCCTGGCGACGGGCGTCGGCGTTGGATTCGAGAGTCGCAGCAATGCGACTTCGTAGGCCAGCTACATCCATGGTGGGCTTTGGAGCAGGCGTGCCGGACTCGAAGCGTGCGGTGATGTCGGCTTAAAGACGGCACGGCCTTTGCAAGGGAAGGCGGGCAGCACTTTGAGCACACGGACAGGGCGTGCACGGTGGCAGTTCAGGCAGGCGGGCGTGCCCCGAGTGATGTGTCCCGGCGTCGAGGGTGGACCGGGAGAAAGCACGAGGGAAATCTCGTTTTGAGGTGGACAGTTGAGGCCGAGGGGCATGCCCGCGCCTGCACAAAAATCGCTGACAGCGACAGGGTCGCCAAGGCCGCCGGCCCGTGCGCCCTCCGCCCGCTCTCCTCAACACCATTCGTGGTGTATCGCGATCGTCGTGTCAGCCTGGGCCTTGCGCCGCCCACTCGCCGCACGATCACCCTCCGACCAGCCCCCGCTCCAGGCCCGCGCTGCAGCGTGACGGAGACGCCCGTTCCAGCCGTGCTGCTGTCCCCACGCCGCATCCGCCGCCTGAGCGCGGGTCCGCACGTGGCCACCCGCCGCTTACTCCCGCCCAATCCATCCACGACGCTTGCTCCTCCCTGCCGCGCTTGCTGCACGCGTGCCATCTCTGGCACATCTACGGCGGGAGCCAGGCTTTGCGCTGAGTGAGACGAGCCCGATCGCTCCTCGCGTGAGGCGCTATGCAAGGAACCCACTGGCTTACCGATGCTCAATTCGGCCATTGCTTCTGGCTTTAAGCTATCTGCTATGTACCTACACTGCCCCATTCCGCCATAATCTTATAGGTACAAGCTTGCCGCATTGCAGATGTCTCGCTTGATCAGCTCTTGACACGTCTGCATCTTTGTGTAAAGCGTCGGGTCGCCAATGATGCGCGCCGCGTTCTTGACTTCTCTGCACGTCTCATCTAGGCGCGTGATTACACGCACAATGGTGCCCTCCATGACGTCCGTCAGGTCTGTGATGCGGTTGAAGGACATACCGCGCGCCCACTCGTACACCACCTCAACCATGCCAAAACGCGGCCGGCTAACGAAGTCGTTCGAATCCTCAGAAGAAAGGATGACTTGGTGCAGCGTCTGAATGTGGTTGACCTTCTCCGAGATCTCGATGATCTTGGCTTGACCTTGCTCTAGTCTCGGCGTTAGCGTAGGCGCCACGTCCGTCTTTTCTTGGAAGACGAAGGCAGATAGCAGCGCTGCGATCTCCTCTGGTTCAAAATCAGCGAGTACATTCTCCAGAACCAGCTCCGTGAGGACTAGTTCGTCGGCAGAGTGGATCTAGGACGTGTAATTAGCTCAGAATTTGAAGTCGCTTTGACGCCGGGTGGAGGTACCTCGCAAGCTACTTTGCCCTTCAACTCGACTCTTGACTTTTCATCAATGAAACCGAGGTCCTTCAGCACTGAGATTCGTTGCTCGTAGTCTGGAAGGAGCTGCAAGTTCTGATCTGACATAAGCTGACGCAGTTGCGCAATGTTCTCCTTGATAAGCCACTCATCGTGCGCCATGGCAAACTGTAAGAAAAGTCGGTCAGAGGGCGTCAATCGCCATTGCAGAACAGGGCAGAAAAGTTGGGGCTGACTCACGTGCTGTAGGAACTTGGGACATTTCAAGCACTTTCGCCCTTGGGCAAGCCCAGCCTGCTTGTTGCGTTCGTCGAGAAGACCTCTATATGTCATGTCCTTGATGAACTTCGACAAGTTTATCTCGTCCCAGTCTTCGAAGCTCCAGGATTCACACAGAGGTTGGAGCTGATCACTCGCTAGCTTAAGTGCTTCTGGATCACCCTTCAGCACGTCGGCTAGTTCAATCTGGGGCGAATGTTAACGCTACCTTTCCTGTTTTTTATGGAGCGAATGAAGTTGGTGCAGTGGTAGGGCTGATTTACCTTGATGTGTGCGACTGTGATGCTTTCTACATCGCTCAGAGGGACCGATGCTGCCTTGAGCCTCATGTCGGACGCATTGCGCGGCAGCGGCGCGAAGAACTTCGTAAACTCTGAAAGGTACGGAAGCAGGTCGCTTGGCTGACGCTTCGCGTTCGCACTAATCTCGAGTACCTGCACCGTTGGCTCATGGCCCTTGCTGATGCCATCTCTCAGGAGCATGCCAGCGGTGCGAATGCCGTCCTTGCGACGAGTCTTTAGTCCTCCATCCATGTCAAAGGTTTCGCTTTACTCACCTTCTTGTAGACTACCAGACGCCTAGCGTCGAATAAGCGTTTTCCAACAGGGGTGGCGAGCAGCGCGAGGTGAAGCTCATTGGTCAAGCGCTGATATTTCATGCAAGCCTCGTGGCAAAGCTCGAGGTCAACGTCGCAGATCTCACATGGCTCTCGCTTGATTTTTTCGAGGTCTGCTTCAGACAGCTTGACGGCCTTCTCGTGTTCGGGGAGAAGAGCTTGTGTGGCGTTCTCGCTGAAACTCCGCTTGATCATCTCTTCTATCTTCAGCGCCTCTACTCTCAGAAGGTTTAGTATCATGTTGTATGTAAGCCTAAATTGTGAGCGGAGCTTTGTTGGATCGCCGAGAATCATCTGTCGCAAACGAGCAGCCGGGGGTGCTTCTTCGGCACCTGGTGCGACAATGATGACAGAGCCAACGGCATCGAGTCCTCTACGGCCTGCCCGACCGGCCATCTGGGTATACTCTCCCGGCAGAAGGTCTCGGAATTGGCGGCCATCATGCTTTCGGAATCCGGAGAAGACCACCGTCCTAGTGGGAAGGTTGAGACCCATGGCAAAGGTTTCTGTGGCGAACAGGATTTTGACCAGTGTCTTGGCAAAGAGTATCTCTACCACTTCCTTGACAATGGGCAGCATGCCACCATGGTGGACAGCGATCCCTCGGCTCAGCAGCTCGCGGAGCCTCCGAATCTGCGGGAGTACTCTGTCCTCTGGTTTAAGGCGGGCAATAGACTTCTCGATGACCATGTGAATGGCGCTTTTCTCGGAAGCGGTGCAGAAGTCCAAGTTTGCAAGCGCATCCGCATTTTCCTCGCAACGTTTCTTCGAGAAGACAAAGATACAGGCCGGCAGCAGGTTCTCTTTGCGCAAGTGCTGGACGAGATGGACCCAGATGTTCCTGTCCTGCGCAGCAGTTGTCCTCCCACCGCCACGCCCAGTACGAGCAATGTTGCCCCGCCCGCGTTGTGCTGGTGCACCGCCTCTTCCGCGCTGTTGGGCGCCTCCCCGTTGTTGGGCGCCTCCTCTCTGTTGAGCACCGCCCCTGCCGCCGCGCTGGTCTTGTCCACGCCCTCTATGATTGGCCCCGCCTCGCGATGCATTAGACTCCTCAGGCTTGGCTGCCTTGACCTTGTCCTTGCCCGACAGGATGTCATTGGCATCTTTCCATCCCTTTTCAATGAAGTGCTTGTCCGCGTCCACAATCTTGTGCATAACTTTGTTGGACCACAAGTAGTGCTCCAGCGGCACGGGACGCTTCGGTGTTGAGATAACGTAGATGTTCTTCTTCTTGGTTCTGCCTACCCAAGACGCAAATTCGTACGTGTTCGGGACTGTCGCAGAGAGGAGAATGAGAGTAACGTGCTCCGGTAGCATGATGATGACTTCTTCCCACACCACGCCACGCTCAAGGTCGTTGACATAGTGCACCTCGTCGAAGATGACGAATTCGACATCTCGGATAAGGTCTGCTCCTCGGTATAGCATGCTTCGAAGAATCTCAGTTGTCATAATCAGGCAGCTGGCCTCGGGGCGGATCTGGACGTCTCCTGTGAGAATTCCAACGTCCTCGAATTCATTTCTGAAATCTCTGAACTTCTGGTTGCTGAGAGCCTTGATCGGAGACGTGTATATTGCCTTTGTCATGTGCTTAGCTGCAAGTGCGATGGCATACTCGGCTACCACCGTTTTGCCAGCTGAAGTATGAGCTGCAACGAAGACTGAATCTCCATTCTCAAGATGATACACGGCTTCTTTCTGGAAAGTATCCAGTTCGAATGGCCATTCTCGTGCCATGTCGGGTACGAGCTCCCTAAAGTTGGGAATGTCCCGATTGACATCAACCATGTGAGCCCACTCTTTAGCAGCCCTCCGTGTGCTCGCGAGCGTAAGGGTTCCGCGTGGAGCAAGTGCAGGAAATTCAACGGGCAGAAGGGAATCAATATCATCATCATTCTCATCCTCCTCATCACCAGAGTCGCCCGTGGACGGCTGAGCACCGTCGATATCTTCGGTGGGAATACCATCCACTGACCCAACGGGGGCAGGCTCTTCCCCCAGGGCATTCTCAACCTCCTCGGCACTCTGCTCATCGGTGCTTGCCTTCTTCTTGAAATCCAACCCTCGAGCGAATCCCGGCGGGACTTCGAGGAGGCCACCTTCCACGCCAAAATTTATGACGCGGTCCAGTCCACCGAGCTTCTTGGTCCTTTCTGTTTGCTGGGCTTGCAAGAACTCGTCTTCCGCCGCCGCTACGGCTTCCACGCCGTCAAGGCCGCCGGGTGCAAATGGAAAGAAGCCGGCAGCACCACGGACGAAGTCGGCTCTGTTGGCGGGTTTCCTGAGGAGGGATGTCGAGTTCTTAGCTGTAGCGCTGTTTGCAGGAACAGTAATCTCTTTATAGCCGGTTACACGGCCCTCTAAGCCTTCGCGAGTGAAGCGGATAATGGTGCGCGTCTGCGTAGGAGCAAGCTCGAAAAGGTCGGCATAGTTGATTGGCGCATCCCATCTCTGCTGCAACTCATTGAGCCATTGAGCGTTGAATGCAGTAGAAGGGGTGAGGAACTCTTTCTCTAGTTCTTGCTTCAACTCGTCCTTGGTTTGCCGCGTGCGTTTGCGTGGTCGTTGCTCCTCCAGGATCGAGTCAATCCAGTCAGGATCGCTCGCCGTAACAGAGTCGGCCGCAAGGCTGACGCGTTCGAAGGCCTGGGTTAGGCCCTCCATGTTGCTATGCGTGGAACGCGAAGAAGCCGTGCGGTGGTGAGTTGGTGCCGGGCGGCGTGGGCTTGGACGCGTCGTGGTCACGGTGTCTGGCAAACGCTGCTGCCAGCATGACGCATGCGCAGCTGCGGCTCCTTCTCGCTTGCGCGAGTCGCTCCCGCATGTCGATAGGGCCACCACGAATCATGAGACACAAAACACACTGCCGTGTCGCGGTCGGAAAAGCTTTAGCGCCCGGCACGATAACTCGCCCGCTATAGACGAAGGCGCGCCTTAGTGCAGCGGCTCTTGAACGTGGTACAATCCTTCAACTTCCGACCGGGTGACCAACACGGGCCGAGAGTGCGCCTGGCCCGCGCGGAAGGCGGCGTGTGCACAGTGATTGCGCCAGTATGCTGCTTCCAGACGGAAGATAGCCCGATCGGCAGGCACACACACAAGCCACGTTCCCTAAAATAAAAATTGACGACACACAAGGCGTTCTTCACATTCTTCACGGTTAAAGTTCAGCCACCTGCTGCCGTGCATTTCGCTAAGTGCCAGCGTATCGGTGGCCATACCGCTTCGTTCACCGCCGCGCAATCTCTTGACAGGATATCCCGTTCTCCCACTTCCGAAATGACCCCTAACGCCTCGCTATGCATGCGATGAAACAGCCTCGGCAGCTACCAATCCTCTAGCCCCTCCATGGCCTCCATCTCATCTGCGAACTCATCATCCTTGTTTTCCTCCCGAGGTGATTTGCGATAATCTGATGCTGGTCCCGGTCCCGATCTGCTCATGGGTGCGCTCCCCGGCGCTCCGTTCATTTCTTCTGCAAATAGAGCATCCAGTTCGTCTTCGTCGGGTTCATCGGCTCTCTGACTCGAAGTTGCGGGCATCGCCGTAGGGGCAGGGACGTCCTCCGTCAGCAGGGCATCCAACTCATCGTCGTCAGGTTCCCCAGCGAACTGGCTTGGCGCGGCATCCGTGTGTGTGGTTTGTGCTTCCATCGCCTGATGTTGCTCACCGTCACTCCGCGGCTCTGTCTCCTGATGCTCGTCATCCGCACGGGTCATGCCCGTGTCTTCAGCCTCCTGTTCTCCTTCTTGAAGCCCCGTCTCCATCTCCTCCGATCGCTTGGGTTTTCCCTCGTTGATCCACTCCCTCCGCATAATTTGCATCCGTTTCTTATGTCCGAGTTTCTCAGTGATGGCCAGTCCGTCCGCAAACTTTGCCCTCGGGTAGAGGTCATCGAGCCACAGCTGGTACATGTTCAGGAGACGCGCAACATCCGAAAACTGGGGTGAAGGGTTAGCGAGCTCTGCTCATTCCGGAGAAATTGTCTGACCTCGTGGCCTTTTCCTTTGAACCTGAGTTTTTCCTTGGAGATCCTGCGCAATCTCGGAATACCGGCTGCAGAAAGCAGGCTGCGTGCCTCATCAGCGAGGGTTCTGCTTCACGCGAAATTCGCACGGGACTGACCGGGCTTCGTCAAGTTTCGCAATCGGTTGCCTCTTCTTTGCGACCGTGACTTCTTCGTCAATGCCCAGAGTCGTCGTGTTCTGTTTGCTCGCTTGTCCTGAGTGATCGCCGCTGGGTCGGCTGGTGTCTATCTCGTTGAAGATGTCATCCATGGATGCGTCATAATTGAACAGGTCGTCGAGATCATCATTTGCTGCCGAGCCGGGGCGGGGTTGTGCTGCGGGCGACGTCATGTTGGGTGATAATTCGTGACTTGGGAAGCTGCTCGACGCGAATGGGAGTGTATGAAGGCGGCAAAGCTGTTATCAGTCTCGCAAGTGGTCTTGCAAGCGGGCGTACATGTGTTGGAACGCAGACGCGCCGAGCGAAACGCGTCTCTCTACTGGGAGACGCGTCGGGCTCGCTTAAGGAGCGGCTAGCGCAAAGCGCCGATTGACCAACCTTGATTGAAGATGCCTGGCGGCAAACCCTACCTACCGGCCAACCTCGGAACCTTGTGACAACCGCGTGCACTCCACCAACAGTGCAATATTCTGCGCTCGCCATCTAGCTACTGGATCCAGTTTAGCGGTGCTTTCCGCAGCCGCGTGGTTCATCCCATCCCTGTCCGGCTCCGAAGGCCGCTTCGCCTCACAACGTCACCTCGTGACAGACGAGCGTGCTGCGGGGCCAGCAACACCATCACGTTGACGCCGACCATTACGACATACCTGCCGCCATCCTCTGCAACATGGCGTTTCCTGCTGTAGACTCAGTCGAGGCCGTGACCCGGCGGTTCAAGGAGCTCCTTGAGAAGGCTCGAAAGGTCAAGCCCAGCGATTCTATCGAGCCGCAGATCTCCGCCACCGATCTACTGGACGGCGAATCGCTGCTCTTGAGTGAAAATATCCAGAATCAGGTGTCTCACAACACCGTTGCAGAAATTGCCGCAAAGAATCTCTTGCACCACCTCGTGGTACGCGTCTATCTGATGCATTTTGCTTGCTACCAACGGCGAAACTGACCGAGCCACAGGCGACCACCACCATCGATGATCCTTCGTTTGTCCAAGTCTGGAATCTCCTTGACGTAGTCTTGACATGCAGCGAGCGCAGTACGTCCCTGTCCAAATCCACTTTTTCTGAACGCTAACCTGACGCTGTCAAAGACCAGTGTGACGGCTTGCTCATATTCTATCTTGCTGAAGAGCTGCTTGACAGTCAGAGCATTGATGGATGCAGGCGGGTTTTCGACTACCTCGAATCTCGGAGGGAACGCCTAGTAGCCGTAAGTACACCCCAATAGTCTCATCGTGAAACCGGTCTTATATGCCTCATTCAGGGTGACTTTCTCCAAAACTCAGGCGCCAGCAAGCGTATAGTCGTGCTACGATTCTGCAACGAATTGCTCCGGCGGCTGTCTCGTGCGGAGGACGCAGTGTTCTGCGGACGCGTCTTCATTTTCCTGTTTCAGACATTCCCTCTTGGCGACAAGAGCTCGGTCAACTCACGCGGCGAGTTTCACGTCGAAAATGCAACGGTGTTCGACGAACCCGCATCTTCCAAGGACGAAAAGTCCGATGGGATGGAATTAGATCCCGACTCAAAGCAGGAAGTTCCATCAATTACGACTGAGAGCGCACCTACGGATGATGATGCCAAGGCGGAACAGAAGAAGGATAGCCGAGTACTGGACACCGATCCGCTGTATCCCATCTTCTGGACCTTGCAACAAGCTTTCTCCAATCCGCCGAAGCTGTTCTCGGACGAGTACCTTACTGAATTCAAGAATGGGATCGAACATACCATTGCCAAATTCAAGGATGTCCCGAAAGTCATGCCGACGAAGAAACAGGATAAGAGCGACGACAAGGAAGGGCCTAAAAACGAAAGCAAGCCCGAGGGCAGGGCGGAGAGAAGAGACGAGAGTGCTGGTGTCGAAGATGGCCGAGGGGTAAAGCGAAAGCACGACGACGCCGAGGAGGAGTTCGCAAGCCCCTATAACCCAAAATACCTAACGAGCCGAGACCTGTTCGAGCTAGAGGTTTGTGCTGTGCCGAAATTCAAATTGGCGAAATTGCTAACCGACTACTCAGCTGAGCGATTTGGCATTCCAGAGGCACATCCTGGTGCAGGCGCTGGTCCTCCTTGATTTCCTACTATCATTGACAGAGAAGTCGAAGGAGAAGACCCAAAAATGGTTGTCGGCCGTGAACAATCCGAATCGAGCTGTTCAATACACTTACACTCTAAGTGCTGCAGATGTAAGTAGATCTTAGTTTGCGCATCCCGAGCACAGGGATCCGATCTGGCGCTCTGACGCAAGGCATAGGCCGAATGGGCATCAAAGACCAGGACAGCGATCACGACTTATCTCCAGCTTCTCCCGGACGGCAAATTCTATTACCGGATGGTGGACACGGTCCTCTCTCGCGACAAAAACTGGGTCCGTTGGAAGATGGAGAGCTGTCCACCAATCGCACAGCCGCCTGTTTCTCCCAGCGAGTTCCAGGAGGCCAAGACAGGAGCACAGCGTGCGTGCACGAACAAGCGGCTCAAGTCGGCCGCGCTGGGGTCGTTGAACCTGTCATTTCTCTCTGATGCGGCGGCGAGCAGTGGGCTGCAGGGGCTGAAGGAGTCGTCCAGGTACGCTGTGCGGGCAAGGGAAGCATTCGGAGCGTAGCTAACCAAATGCAGGTACACTATCCCCACGGCCGAATCGCTGCACAGGGGAATACAGGAGGACGAATTAGATTTGGAGATGGCCATGACGGACGAGGATAAGCACAGGTTGCAGGAGGCTAAAGCAAGCAAAACGTGGAGGGCGCTCCGCATTGCATCCAAGGACAGGCTAAGCTTATTCGACAAGATCGACGACGGCAGGCAGCTCCAGGCGCTGTTCGAGCCCGAAGGCGGCGACGACGCGGGCAAAGACGAGCGGACGGCGACCGAGACGGCGGAGGGCAAGGTTGACGGGTCCGTGGCGGAAGCGGCATCGCAGGTGCAGATGCAGGAGGAACAACGGGCCGAGCAGCAAGGCAGTCAAGTGACAACACGGTGAGGTAGAAACAAGGCCAAGAGCGCTGGCGATCGCCTCAGGCATGCAGGCACGGCGGCGCATTCTGCCGAAATGATGCTCATAGAACGTCGATCCCGGGTGGTGAGCGATACGGACTGCGATCTTATGACATGGGGGCGACGCTATGACAGCCCGGGTTTGCGCAAGAGACGAGATTGCTGGGCCAGTCGGTGGTGTCGTTTGCACCAGCGCGTTGGTGTCTCAGCCCAGTGCGCAGCGCTGCTAGAAAGAGATCGTGGCGCCGCGGCCGTCTGGGGCGATCCACGCCGCTGCTTGCCAACGGTGCGTGCGGGCAGCGGCTGTGATACGTTTTGCGACCGCCACCTGCACACGCGGACGCGGACGAGAGCGAGTTGGAGGTTGGGGGGGCCAGAGGGCCGGCGGTCCTGGCTTGGCGGCAGGCGGCGTCTGGCGTCTGGCGGCGGGCAGGCAGCGCGCCCCCGACGGGCAGCGAGCTCACCGCGCGCGTGCGTTGCAGCTGGCATGTGGTCTGCGTACGGCAGCGGTGGCCACGCGCAACGGCGGCACGGCTGGTACAATGCATGCTGCCGACGCCGCCGCCGCTCCTCCAGCCCCTAGGCCCTGCGGCCGTTACTGCTCTGCTGCTGCTGCTGCTGCCGCCTCGCTGATTACGGGCGCGGCGCTGCGTCAGCGGGGCGCCCGGCACTGTTCGTCTGCACGTCTCCGAGCATGAAACATGCCCGCGTTTTTCTGAATCACTACTCCTCCACCACAAGCGAGCCGACCCTGGAGCACATCAAACCGCCGCGCCACGGGCGACTGAACCCTAGAATAATTTCCGTCGGCGGAGAAGAGGCTCCTTCATTTCCATCCTGCCGCCGGCGAGTCGCCAGCGCGCCGGATCAGGCGAGGCTGCTCGTTCGCTCGGCCCGCGTCGCCCTGCGCGAGCTCGCTGCTGTCCACGCTGTCCCCGTCCCGCTTCAGCAACACGCCCGTCCGCCGCGAAACCACCACTGTCTCCCAGGCCTGGCCGTTGGCCTTTCAATGCCCGCCGCCCGGGCCGGGGGAGCCGGGGCGCACGACCAGGCACCCGCCCAGGTACAGGCCCAGACACACGCGCACCAGCCCTCCGCAACGCTCGCCGCCGTGTCGCCGGCTCTCGCGCGTAGGTCGAGCAGAACGCGCCCCCAGACGCCTCCGCCGGCCCCGGGGCGCCTGCCGCCATGCTCTGCTCGCCCCTGTCCTGTGGCGACAGCGCGGCGCCGCCAAGTCAGTGCCCGCAGCGCGCCCTCGTCGACTGCTCTAAGCGCGAGATGACGCTCGTGTCCACCGGGCGCGAGTAGGCCCGCTCGTCGACGTCCGCCCACGCTGGCGGCCTGCGTCTGGAGAGTCGGCTCGCCGCGCGGTGGCCGTGGCGGCCCGGGAGTGCCCTAAACGCGAGATCTCTACGTCGAGATCTGTGAGCCGCTAGTACATGATGTACCGGCGGCGACGGCAAGTCTAGCCTGGCGTGGCATGCTCGCTCCAGTCAACGATCGTGCGTGCGCATCAGCCGGGGGGCGGGCGGCCAGCCCAGGTCGGCAATCGAGCTCTCCACCGCACACGCAGATGAGGAGGCGGACATTCATGCAGCGCGAGGCTTCAGGGCTGATGCACGTTTTTCTTGTTCCTGACGCAATCTCCCTCGCGCGCTGCCGGTGCTGGCGACCCGCCCTGACTAGAGGCGTGTACCGAGGGCGGGCCCGAATCAGGCAGGCCAGGAACAGCCGCCCGGATCATGGATGCTTCCCAGCTGGAGCTGCCATGCCCGCCGGCCAGAGACCCCGCAACAAGCGTTGCCGAGCCCTGCCTCACCGCGGCGGGTCCTCGAGGCTCCCGAGCTCGCTCAGGCCAATGAGCCTGCCGCTCCGTCCAGGCCTGCGCTGCACGCCACGGATCACCTGTGCTCTTCGGCGCAACCCGTCTGGCTCCCTGTCCGTCCTGGAGCGAGCCGTGTAGTCGGTCCCTCCTGCTCGTCGACGGCGAGATGCTTGGCCTCCCGTTTGTTCCAAAAGCCTAGCATTCGCGGGTCCGCTGATGCGTCACCTCTCTTTTCCCCTAGGAGTTCGTCCCGAGGTACCGCTCTGCGTGCGCCCAACTTTTTTACCAAGCTGCCTGCTGACGGTCTTCCAGTGATGCCCTGCGCCGTGTAACCTCAGCTTCTTGCTCTTTCGCTTGTTGCTTTCGTTTTTTGCCCTGTTGTTGGCGCGAGCCCGTCCGATCGTTGCTTCGCTTTTCGATTCTTCACGCCCTCGATTTACCCGGCCTCCACGCCCACCTGCCGTTTGTTCTGGTATGGCCTCGCCCTCCTTGCCGCGTTGGCTAAGCGCTGATGTATCCTCGTGCCTGTCAGACTCTGCCTGTGTGGACCCTGGCCCAGCCGCCGTGCGCCGCGCCATTTACCATCGCAGATATCTAGTCGCCGCCAATACGCCTTTGCACGCCCACTGCCGGGGCAGAGCTACGTCAAACTCAATCCTCCACCGGCCTGTCAACTTGACACCGTTGCCGCGAAGGCCTTGACCGCGCTGCGTGCTGCTTGCAGGGAAGCTCGCTTCATCTTGCCCGCCGAAACGGAAATCGGGCCCTCCACCCCCAAGCAGACGCCAGCGGAGTAATCCCACAAACCACAGGCCCGCCGCGCCGAGGACGCCCGCCGTGCAAAGGAAGGTATCCGTCTCGAGCTGTGCTGGCCGCGTTGAAGTTGCACCAACGCCCGCAGCAAAAGTCGTCTTTCCAGAAGCGTACCCCGCATTGGGTTATCTTTTCTTGCTTTTCGCCTGCAAAGCCCAGGTCTCTGCAAAGGCTTGCAACAGCGCACGCCTCGGGGCACACTGCACGAAACCTGCGACTTGCAAGGGTCGCTCAGGACGCCTGTAGCCGCTCCCGCCTGCCATCCTTGCTCGCTGGTCATTCGATCTCGAGCACCCCGGCATCCTGCATCGAGACAGCTTGTACGTAGCCCGTTCTTTGTTTGGCCCTCCCAAGCTGCCTTGACTGACCGCAAGCTTCCGCGTCCAGCCACGTTCAAGCTCAATTTCCATACGTCTTCTCCAGTCCGAGTCCCAGTCACGATCTGCCAATGGTTGACGGAATCCCTTCCGTTCCGCTCTCACCACCCAGCTCGCCGCGAATGTCTGCGTACACCGCGACTCACGCTGAGTCTGAGTGGCACAGCCAAAGGACGAAACCAGGAGACGCCAACGACGGGACCATGGGCCTGCACTATTCCGAGGTATCTGGACTTTCTCTTGACACTCCAAAGCGCCCGCCGCTGCGCACTCACAAGAGCTTTCCCTACATGTTGAGCCAGCCACACCATTCCGCCACCCAGCAATCCGCTGCTTCCGACCACCCCATTGCATCTCCGCAGCCTCAGAGAGAGCGCATCACCATCAGCAATCTGGAGGAGTCGCCGCAGAGGTCTTTGCCGAATGTGACTTATGGTGGCTCGGCCCCCGCCAGCCCAGTTTCGAGGCTGACACCTCCCTCTCCGGAGGGTGAAAAGGACCAAAGAGAGGGCGATAATGACGCAGCCCTCTCCGCAAGCGCTGATGAAGGCGACGACTCCAAGCCGATGACTGCAGCAGAGCTGCGGGCACAGAAACGAAAGATGAAGAGGTTCAGGTAGGTCTCTGTGGAAAGCCGCACGCCCGGCGGCGGCGGGAGCGGTAGTCTTATCTTCTACACCACTGAACTTGTGCTGATCATCTTCCCACCAGGCTTACGCACAACCAAACTCGATTCTTGATGAGCGAGTTTGCCAGACAGGCGCATCCGGACGCTGCGCACCGGGAGCGCCTGGCCAGAGAGATTCCCGGATTGAGCCCACGCCAGGTGCAAGTGTGGTTCCAGAACAGGTAGAGGCACCGATGATTATTTGAAATGGCTCCGAAAGGTTGCTGATTACGACGGGTTCTGCAGGAGAGCTAAGCTCAAGCGTTTGACGAGCGATGATCGCGAGCGTATGATGAGGTCAAGAGCCCTTCCCGATGATTTCGATATGACCCAGGCACTACATTCTCCTTTCGGTACGGCCGGTCATGGTGTTGGAACACCCATGGCTTCGCCTGCCACGAACTTTTCACCCAGCTTTCCCGAAGGCAACATGGTTCGGCCTTTGAGCTTGGATAGCATTCGTCGTTACCCTGAGGGACCACAGATGTCGCCAGCTGGTGTTCCCCCACCGTTCGGGGGCTATTCGTTCACTCCTCCGCAGTCTGCCACAGACACCTCCTCTCCAGTCTCGGCAACCGGTGAGCCGAACCCTTTCGCTTATTCGCAATCCATGGAGGGCAGCCCACGCCGACCGAATCCTTTCGTTGGCGCAGTTCCTTCACCTGCACCCTTTCCGCAGTACTCCCAGGTTCCGCGGCTGCAGTTGCATGATCGTGTGGCCCGTACCAGGGCTGAATCTCTTTGCTCTCCGTTGAGAACGAGCATGTCATACAGCAACGACGGCACACTCAGCCAGTCGAACATTCAGCCGAGCCAGAGTGTTGAGAACACTAGCATGGGCGAACAGCGCATGCCGAACCTCCCAAGCACCAGTCTGCCAGGATCAAGCGTTCCGTACGGCTTGGGCTATTCTTGTGAGTAGAAATTGAGTCGGTGACCGGATAGCAATTATTGACAACTGTTAGACTCGCACATTCCCGGTTTCCAGTCGGGGGCACAACAGCGCATGCGTTCTTTTTCCAGCAGTGTGCCTCGCCGCATTGAACTGTCCCAGCACAGCGCTCACTATCAAGCCAGCCGAACCCCTGGCTCATCAAATCCACAGTCTGCCACTTTCCCTAACTATCAAGGCTCTCCGCTTTCTACGCCAGGCGCGTACAACCAGTCGCCTCTGATGAGCGCGCCACACAACGTCACCACGTTCAGTCACTCTCCGAGCTACAACGGTCCATACGGTCAGGCTCAAGGCGGTCAGAGCGATCAATACCAACCGGCGCCTGTCTTCAGCGAAGTTGAGGGCTCCAACCAGCAAACCGAAAGCAGTGGATCGGGTGTGCAATTGCCGCCCCAATATTAAAGGGGCCTTGAGGCTCTTTTCCCATTAACGTGGCCATCACACAACACAGCCACGAAGCGAATACGCATATTGCAAAACAAAGGTCCTAAGAACGATCTGGGACAGCATGGATCAGACGTACGAATTTCTTTGGCGAATCTGTTGACTACACCCAGCACCACTGCTGGTCAAAGGTCAAGAACGGGTCGTCTTCAAAATATATGGATTCGAGGAACGAATTTCCTTGGCCCTCTATCATCGAGACTACACTCTGTTGAGTCTCACACAGTTTCGATGTTTCCACAAAAGCAATTTCTGGAGGACTTCTTACCCGCGGAGATCTCGGCGAGGTAGAAGGTTTGTTTGGTTATGAAAACCTAACTCTTCCCCTACAAGACACCTTTACCTTCATACAGATAGCAGGCGAACAGACATACCTGCTCATTGGGACGGCATGCTTCTACATGCATTCCCTCTTGTTACATCTTTTCTTTGAATTTCGAGTTCTCAAATTTACTCAGGCTGCAGTTTTGCTCTTTCTATTTTTATTTTCTTTCAGCACTTTTCCTGCGCCTTGTACCAAGATTCAAAACTTTAGTCTGTGTTACTCTTACTCTTTCTTTTTCTTTTCTTTTTGGTTCCGAGGAATCTGCCTATTTCTCCAATTCTCTTCTTTTCGTGTGTGTGTGGCAACACTATCCTTATTGTAATGGCGCGGTGCGTCACACGAAGGCGCCGCCTTCGAAATTCCTTTTTCGGATTGAATTCTCGTGTTTTCGAACTGCGTTTGATTTCTGGGTGTTTTGTAGGGAGGCTGGACTGGATCTCCATTTCTTTTGGGTTGCGAATTTCCTTTGTAGCTACAAGCTGTATAACTCAATAGTGTCTTAACACAGATCACTGTTGTCGAAATGCACATCGGCAAACTATTCTTTTGGCATAAGTGACTATCCCCACCCCTGCTCGTTACCGGAATTGAATCCCTATGAAAGACTGGACATACTGTGGCTCCATCAACGGCGTGCCACCCTTAGCTCGACATTGGATTTCCACTCATCACGCCCTCTCAGACACCCTCAACCGGGTGTGCATGAACCAAAAATCTTGGATTATGCAGCTTGAATTTGGATACTCAGGAGTCTAGACCTTCGTGGTCTGTTGCTTCATGGCAGAGGAAGGAGAGATTAGTAACTGGAGCATATTCGAAATCGTGAAACCTGTTCAGGGGCGGAGGCAGGACGGTGGTTGTGCCTCAAACACCTCTACATGAGTGATTTTCACCTTCAACCAACCAAAAAACCAGAGTGTGATGAGGAGGAACCCGGCCGTAAGCTCAACAAGATTGAGTCTAAGGGTGGCGACGTGCATAGCTAGTGGAGCAGGCTTTGAAAAGGGGATCCTGAACTTTGCCTCAACCCTTGGCATCAAGCAGATCATCAAGGGTAGAAATCAAACGTGATTCTCCACAAGCTCAGACAAGGTCCGACACCCAGGATCAGGCGGTGACCCCCGGCGGGTGTATCTATCTGAGGGGGCTAACTCTTGCCAGTGAATAAGCGTGTGGCGCTGCGTCAGCTAAATTCAGGCACGGGCGGCAAGTGACAAGGCTGTCTAGGGCTGTAGATCTTAGCGAACTAGTAGGGCTGGTGTTAATTGACCAGCTTGAAGAACTATTCAGTAGGGCCATTTACTTGTTTTGGAGGGCACGTCGGGGGCGTGTCCGTCGCCGCTGTTCGAGAAGGTGCGTGGAAGACTGCGGCTGAACACCGCCCACCAGTTAGAAATCACGTCGCGCACAAGCAGGCAAACTTCCAGAAACTACCAAGTCAAACAACAACCAGGTCTCGAAAAGACCAGTAGACGGCCGAATCCAACCACTATGCCGTCATTTCAACTCGGCAATGCCGCTAGGCGTCAAAATTGCCAGCTGGTCCGGCAACCTTGAATCCACTTCGGCGGCAGCGCCGTTGTCTTGCAACCGGTCGTTAGCCGCAGGCGTAGTCGTTGCACGGCGGCCTCGCCAAGACTTTGACATGACTAGTGCACATGCCTTGCAACCTCAGTGAGTGGTGACGAGGCCTCGTCAATCAGGCATCAAGACGCGAAGGGCAGCTCCTGATATCGACAGGGCGCCTTGCCTATAGGACGATTACTTGCATCTTGCGACCGGGCTGGCTTTCCGTGGGCCCTGATATGCGGGCCTCGCTATCACATTCCGCAACGCCCACGCTCGACGACATTATCCGCCGGAGAAGCGGGAAGGGCAACTGAGGAGCCCTTCTGCCGACAGCAGCATCGCAAAGCGCTGGAATTTGTGGCAAGCTGGCAGGACGTACATGGAAGCCGCTCGAGGGAGGGGCAGCTCCGGCTGGGCCCGACCTGCCATCTGGAGAGGGGTCGCCCTGCCGTTGTGGGGGAATGGCGAAGTACTGGCCGGCATTCCGCGCGAGGTCCTGGATGACTTCCGCTGACGACAAACAAAACTAATGATAGAAGAGGAACCCCGCTGAACCTGCGCCTACACTCGCTGTTGTTCCGATACCAAAATACGACGTGAGTCACGGAAGTATAACGTTGTGGATGCCTTGGAAAGGACCGTTCATCATACAACTTTCCGGAGTCTTGGCGTCATGACTGCTTTGCTGGCCCGGGGCTTAGTTACTTGCGCGTCGCGCTGCTGTGACTCACGAGCGTCATCGTGGCTGGCGGCGTTGCGCGACAGGAATTCTCACGAGGGAAGATGGGGCAGAGGTCCGACGGAGATAGCGCAGGAAGGCCGCCGAAGCCCAAGCTCCTTCTCAGTGGCCCGTTCGAGTTAGTGGCCAACGGTGGCGATGGTTGGGGGACCACAGGGCGAACCGCACCAAGGGCGTGACGGAACGCATTGGGCTCGCTGCGGAGACGGCAGCTCGATTGCGACGGTTGAGCGACGGATTGGCCGGGTGATGCTCGACGGGAGCATGGCAGAAGCAACAAACTTGGTGGTGGGCAAGCTTTGTTTCGCTTGGCCGCCCGCCGCCGGTCGCCGCCGTCAGGCGAGAGAGGGCCGCTGGCCGGCGCACTGACGGCCTCGAAAAGCCCACACCGCGCGCGCGCTCGCGACTGTACGCGCTGGAGGCGGCGAGCTGCGCTGCTGGCGCGGCCGATGCTGCGGCTGGACCGCCGCGCAGAGGATTGGATGCGTGCCGGCAAGGCTGAGGGCTGACGCGCCAGTAATGCGTGCTGTGCAACGCGCGCTGGGCCGTATCCTTGGGGCGAGTGCTGTGCGCGCGATGATGTAGCACGCCCGGGGCGCATCGATTGGCAGGCAGCACCCGTGACGCCCGCCGTGCGCTGTGCGCTGCGCGGAGGGGCGCGGGCTGGGCGGTGCAGCTGGCCCACGTCTGATTCAGCGCGGTTTGTGTGCGGTGGAAATTGGCTGGCTGCGCGCTGGCGGGTGGTGTTGGGCGACGGAGACGGCCCCTGTGGTTTGTGCCAAGCCCGATCAAAAAACTTCCCAGTGCCTCGCCCAGCGCACACCCTTTCATCATCATCCATCAACCAACACCTCCCACCCGAGAAAAGCCGGCCCCTCTGCGCAAGCAGTCCACGGCCGCATCTGACAGTTTCGCAGAGTCTCCTCTGGAACTTGTCTGCCCCGTCATCCGACGCGAGCACCCGCCCACGACACCTTCACCGGTCGTCGTGTCTTCCGAGCCGCAGGTGTGCACCGACGACACCTCGCCCTTCACTTCGCCTGTGCTGGTTTTTGTCGAGCGTTTCCTTTTCCCGCCCGCCTCTCCGCTCCGAGCGACCTCTCGTAATACCCGGCCGTCGAGTTTGACATTCGCGCGCCATCGTCCGAGTCCTCTTCCCGTCGCCTCCGCTTAATCGCACTCGTCCGCTCGCCCGCCTCAACCCTCCAGCAAACGGATAAATGAGCAGCTCTAGCCCCGCGACGAACCCCACGACGAACGCCGCGCAGACCGCCAACGCCGCTTCCAACCAATCCACCGGAACGACGTCGCCCTCTGTCGCTGGCGCCGCTCAGCCCGCCGCCAAGTCGTACGCCAGTGCTGCGACAAAGAAGTCCGCTTCGCCTCCCGCGATCGCTTCTAGCACTCCCCAGGTGGCGGTGGGCTCTGCACAGCATGGAAAGACGGGCTCTGTGAACGGCAAAAGTCAGATCCAGCCCGCCGTTCCGGCCGTCGGTCCCGCGCCGATCGCCAATGGAGCTCCTGCCCACGGACGCAAGCCTTCTTCCATGACCATCAGCGCCGCCGGCACCTCTGGCCCCATGGCCAACGGCTCAAACAACCGCCCCAATATCAGCTTCGGTTCTATGAACGCAGGCGGCTCGCCTGCCATCGCGAACAGCGTTCCCCAGGCGCCGCAAAACAGCACACCTAACCCGCGTATCACCTCCCCGGCCACCTCGCCTTCACCGATCCCGCAGCCGCCGGCGAGTGGCGGACGCCCGCCTGCTAGTCTGCAGGGCCAAGGCAACAGCTTGAGCTTCGGCTCCATGGGCGGCGAAAATGGTGGCCAATCGGTACGCTCACCTCACTTCACTTGTGTTACTTTGTCAAAGCCCGCTTGTTCATTTTCATCACTTGCATTCACCTCTCTCGCTCTCCTGCCCAGCAGTGCAATGTGTTATGACCCCATGCTGTTGTTCATTCACACTAACGGATTTCAATGCTTTTGATAGGGCCGCCCCGTTTCCATGCCCCCACAAGGCCCACCGCCCATGCCGCAAGCTCAACACTTGCGCCGCGAGTCTTCGCAATCTGCACACAGCGATATGAGCAACCCAGCCATGAACCGCAACTTCGTGCCCCAGGCAGGTCGCGGCAGAGGGTACAATGGAGGATACAACGCGCCCTCTCCGGGCCCACAGTTCCGCCAACCCCTCAACCAAATGCGCGGTCCTATGCCGGGTCAGTTCCAGGGTCAGGGTGGTCCCATGGGTTCACCCTACCGCCAGAACCGCAGCCCGGCTATGACTCCGGCCACGATGCACCAGCAGGCACAATTTGCCAACCAACCGCAAATGCCGCACGCCGGGTACCCTGGATACCCGCATCAGTTCCAGCCAAATGTAAACAGCAAATCTCCTACCCCTGTCAACGCTCCCGGGCAAGTCGAAACTTCAACGACTAGCCGCCAAAAGTCGCACCTTGTTTCAAAATCAGCCTCTCCACCACTCTCAGCTGTTTCTTCGGCTGATCTCCAACACACGTTCAACACCCAACTTTCTTCTATTCCAAATATTGCGCCAAAAAGCGGCGGTTTCGAAGACTTTCTAACAGAACTCAAGGCCCAGGGCTTCTACGGGATGCAGCCTCAGCATCTTGATCCGACTCAGTTCAATCCTTACTACCAACCCGCTCCCTACATGCATGCCACCATGCCCTACCAGACTGGTGCTCCTCCGAGCCCTCGCCCCATGAACCACGCGCCCCATGCCGCGCAGCCGTTCATTCCAGGTCAGTATGGCGCGCCTCATGCGCAGAGCATGTCGCGCACAAACTCGCAGGTTTCCGAACGCCCCCCTTCTACCATGGCAAACCCTCAGACGCCGTCGATGGCTGCCGCTAGCCACGTCTCACACACCCCTACCCAGAGCTCTAGCAGCCCCGCACCTTCTTCTTCGAACTTTACGATACCCGCGAGGACTAAGAGCAAGGGAATCGTCATCAAGAACCCTGATGGTGAGGTCGTGACATTTGAGAAGAAGTCTTCTTCGCCGGCTCCCGGGCCTTCTAAATCCCCTATTGTCGTTTCTTCCACTCCTACCCCTCCTCCACGTGCTCCTAGCGCCAACTCTCAGCATGGCCGGACAGATAGCACTACACAGAAGACCGCCGAGGAGAAGAAGGCGGAATTCCAGGAGCAGTTCCAGAAGCAGCTTGCTGAGGAGAGACGCAGGAAGGAGGAAGAGGAGAGGCTGACCAAGGAGAAGAAGGAGAAAGAAGAGAAGGAGGCGGCAGAAGCACAAGCAGCCAAGGATAAGGCCGAAGCCGAGGAGAAGGCGGCGAAGGAGCGTGAAGCTGCCGAAGCCGCTGCGAAGGAAGAGGCTGAGAAGAAGGCCAAGGAAGAGGCCGAGAAGAAGGCCAAGGAGGAGGAAGAGAAGAAGGCCAAGGAGGCTGAAGAAGAAGCCGCCAAGAAGGCCAAGGAAGAAGAGGCAGAGCGCCTTCGCAAGGAGGAGGACGAGCGCCTCGAACGCGAAATTGCCGAGATGGAGGCCGCTGAGCGCGAGGAAGAAGAGCGCGAAAAGGCCTTCCAAGAAAAGAGGAAGCGCGACAAGGAGGAAGCTGAGGCTAAGGCCGCAGAGGCTGCTGCCAAGGCTGATGAGGAGATGAAGCGCCTCGAACGTGAGGCAGAAGAGCGCGAGCTCGCGAAGGAGCGCGGCGAGAAGAAGGAGCAGTCCGAGGAGGACAAGGCCGAGGCTGCTAAGCTGTTTGCTTCGCTCAAGAAGCCGACGTTTGGACCTGGTGCCGCTGCTGCGGAAGCCGAGCCCGCTGCTTCAGACGCCATGCCCCCGCCTGCGCAGCCCGCTTCGAAGGCGGCTGCTGCTAAGCCCAAGCCTGCTGCTCTTAAACTTGAGACCCGTAAGCCTGTTGAGCCTCCGGCGCCCACTCCTGGTATGCAGTCCCTCAAGTCTGCCCGCTTCCTGAGAGTGCAAAACGACGACCTCAGATATCCCGAGGGCATCAAGTCGCCAAACCCTGCACTCAACCAGGGCCGCGGTGGCAAGGGCTTCAAGTACGACAAAGACTTCTTGCTGCAGTTCCAGGAGGTCTTCAAGGAGAAGCCTTCTGTTGATTGGGACAACAGGGTCAGGGAGACCGTCGGCGACGGCGGCGATTCTGCCCGCCCTGGATCTGCTCGCACTCCTTCGAATCTGGGCAGCCGCGGCTCTCGCACCATGCCACTTGTCGGAGGATCTATTGGCAACTTCGCACTGAACTCCCGCACCTTGCCTCCTGGCACCACTTCCAAGCAGCGCTTCGAGATCTCCAATTCCTTGACTTCTCGTAGTTCCTCCGCCAACCCTATGGCAAGCTTTAGTGCTCGCCCGGGCAGTTTCCCCATGGCCCCAGGTATTGGCGGTCGTTCCGCATCGTCTTATGCTCCTGCCGCTGGCAACTCATCTCGCTCTGGCAGCGGTCGCAAGAACCAGAGCCGTCGTGGCAACGCCTCGAAGAGGGATGAGGAGAAGAACATGCCCCTTACCGCCGGCGTTGAGGTTGCGCCCCTGGTTAAGTCGACTACTGGCTGGGTTCCGACGAGTCTCACGCAGCCTGCTCAGCCCGCCGTCGCCGCTGGCAACCTTACTCCGGACGTTGTGCAAAGAAAGGTCAAGGCGGCCCTCAACAAGATGACTCCCGAGAAGTTCGACAGAATTGCGGATCAGATCCTCGAGATCGCCAAGCAGTCCGAGAACGAGACCGATGGCAGGACGCTGCGCCAAGTCATCCAGCTCACCTTCGAGAAGGCTTGCGACGAGGCTCACTGGGCCTCGATGTACGCTAAGTTCTGTAAGCGCATGCTTGAGACCATGTCTCCGGCCATCAAGGACGAGAAGGTGCGCGACAAGAACGACAATCCCGTCGTCGGTGGCAACCTTTTCCGCAAGTACCTGCTCAACCGCTGTCAAGAAGACTTCGAGCGGGGTTGGGAGGCCAACCTGCCTATGAAGAAGGAAGGCGAGAGCGAGGAAGCGGCCATGCTCAGCGACGAGTACTACGTTGCTGCTGCTGCGAAGAGACGTGGTCTTGGTCTCATTCAGTTCATTGGTGAGCTCTACAAGCTTGGCATGCTCACTGTCCGCATCATGCACGAGTGTGTCATGAGACTGCTAAACTTCGAGGGTGTCCCCGACGAGTCCAACATCGAGTCTTTGGTCAAGCTACTTAGAACCGTCGGTGCCACCATGGAGACTAGCGAGGCTGGTGCCCAGATGATCCGCGCCTACTTTGAGCGCATCGAAAAGGTCAAGGACTTGCCCGCTCTTCCCAGCCGTATGCACTTCATGCTGCTTGATCTTGTCGATTTGAAGAGGTCTGGCTGGAAGTCGAAGGACGACGCCAAGGGCCCCAAGACCATCCAGGAGATTCACGAGGAGGCTCTTGCTGCTCAGCAGCAAGCCGAGCTCGAGAAGGCACGCAACCCGCCTCGTGGTGGACGTCCGCCTCTCGGCCGTGGCGATGCCCGCTCCTTTTCTGGCGGTGGCATGATGCCCCCTCCGGACTACAAGCACAACACTCTCGGCATGGACGACCTCAGGAAGCTGTCCAAGAACGCCTCTGGTCGCACTTCGAGTTCTGGTCCTGGCACTTTCGGACCTTCCTCGCTGTTCGCCGGTCGTAGCGGCAGCGGCCGCAGGAACCTCGGCCCTGGCGGTGGTTTGAACAGAACCGGCGACGACTCTGGCAACTCTTCCCGCACCGGAACCCCGCCTGTTAAGGAGAAAGAGACCCAGCCTACGCATACGAACTCGTTCAGGTAAGATTCTTTGACTACTCTTTTACATACAGAAAAACTAACTTTGTTGCAGTGCGCTAGCAGCTCTTGAGGGTGGAGATGACGGCGGCCACGAGGCTGCCTCTCCCGAGCCAAGCAAGGTCCAGCCAGCCACGACCGGCGGCGAGAAGAAGGAAGGTGCCGGGGCACCGGCGACCGAGTCATAGATTCCTTTCACATCCTACGGCATCCGCTTTCCACGACCGTGGCTCTTCCTCTTCGGATCTTCTCGGTTCGACCGTTTTCTACATCAGTTGCATAGACTTCGGCTTGCTTGCGCATCTGAACGGGCTGCATTTTCGCATGGGTCTCTTCGTGGGCTGTCTTAAGACAAAAGTTCTTCTCCATTTCTTCGGGTTTCGGGCAGGGTTTGGGCAAAAAGAAAGGGCTGTCGTGTTTTCTCCAATTCCCATTGCTTCTCTGCTTTTCTCTCGCGCGATGAACGTTCATGTATGGCGGGGACATTACCCCACGGCGTTGACGGCATTTTCCTTTTCCCTAATGATTTCTTTTGCGAGTATGATCAGCGGAAAGAGAGGTTGGAGGACCCTTTTCGTTGCTAGCCGGTCAAACAGACATCCTCGATTGGCATCTTACCCTGGGATATGGACTCGTGGCTTCGCTCGCTTTTTTGGTTCGGCTGTCAATATTGCTAGGTATTGTGCGGCCCGGGCTGTCTAAGCCAGCTTTGCGTCGGGTCGGTTTCTTTCGTGGCCTTCGCGTCAAGCGTTGCTTGCTCGGGAACAACAAGGCTTTTTCTTTTCCTTCGTGCGGGCTCGTGGAGGAAGGCAGCGGAACGTTGTGACGATCAACCGCACAAAAAAGGAGGCAGGACTGGCTTGATGATCGCGACGTATGAACGGGTTGGGAAAATGGAACGGACGAATGACGGAGCGGCCGGGCTGGTTTTCTCTTCTCCTACCGCTACCGCTGCTGCTTCTGCAGGTGCTCTGCGATTTCTCCTATTTTCCTTTCCTCCTTATTGCCCTCTTTACTCTGTACACAAGAGACCGCAAATAATCATACAAGGTTTAAAAAAACGAGATGTAGTGCAGCTTAATTGACGTGAATTCACGTAGCTCATGTGAAGTGACGTAGGTAGAATACGATTTGCTGATGGGTATATCATCTCACTTTCTCGCTACGCAATGCACATCAAAGATACTTGCGCGTGCGCGCGCTACCACTAGCCTACCATTTATTCGGGAGGAAGAGGAAGCGGGGTGCTATAGTAATCATATATTATCCGTCGCTAAACGATAAAAAGAAGCTTGGGCGGTAATATGCGCCGGATGCGATGATCTTATTAATGCCAAATCAAATGTTTCGATGCCCTTTTCTTAATAAATGGTCCTTCCGCTTAGTAGCAGTAACCATCATTCCCACATTTCTTTTTATTGTTGCTGCACACCCGCGCCCAAGGTACTGGGTTTTTCTCAGCATCTGACACCTGGTGATCCTGTCCCTCACTGCATACCCGTTGGCCCTCGCGATCTTCTGTTATGTGTGGGGGGCGGGGCAGGCGGAGACTTACGCAATGATTGGGCGATCGCGGGAGGATCGTGGCGCTCTCGTGGCGATTGCAGTTGGATCTCCAAGAACGTTTGTGCATAATTCGTGTGAGTGAAGAAGATTAAAGCAAAGTTCAAGTGGTCAGGTGCACAACACAAGTACAAGGTCGTTTCTGTATTGTAATAGAAATGTGTGGACGTAAATACGCAATCGAGTTATGAACAGAAAAAAAAAGGAAATGTATGCGTGCAACTTTCAACTCAACCATCCTTTTTACAACATCAGAAGAATCGATTTGGGCCTTTCCTGAGGTATAACATGAAGATTTGAAGAGTTATGGGGTCTAGACTTCCAGATTTGCGCGATCTGCATGCTGCTGCAGGTCTGAGAAATTGATTGAGGTCTTGCACGACGTACACCATGATGCTGTGTAATGCCATAATGCAGTCGCTTCCTAGCTGTTGCTTTGTAGGGAAAAGTGGGGACCTCTCTCTTTGAAATTTCTTCTCTTGCAGAGTTACTGATAATTCGTGAGGCTAGGCCGGCGTAGGTGATATCTCCAGGCGAGAACAGCAGCTGCTGGAGGACGGTAATTGGCCATAGATGAGAACTAGATCGTCACAATAATCTAGATAGCGAGCGAGACACAGCAGAGCGTTTACTTCATCTGACGCAATATCCCAAGCGACGTTCCCTTGTAAATAGGATGTTTGCATATAGCCGGTGGACCCTGCAGGGAACAAGCCTGGTGACCAGCCGCTGTTGCTGATGTGTGGTTTCGTCAGACCCCGGTGGCGCAGTCGGCTCGTCAAATCAGGATCGAGACGCGGGTGGATCATGCAACTGCAAACGCTGGCGTTAGTTAGACACGAAGACGTCATAGCTCCCTTGCGGGTGGTCGAGCGTAGGGAGGAAAGCGTGCGGGGACCACCAACCTTGAAGCCTATATTAACAGCCGCCCCTCCGCACGCTACGCTTGCAAATCGTGTCGGAAGAATCAACCAGGTACTGCTTTCGAAAGCGGGTGCAAATCAGCTAAATCAATACAACGACACACAAAACATTTCAACATCATGTCTTCTGACGAGAACCAAAACAAGCCAGGTATGTGCGGATACGTCTTGCAACACTCAACCATCACCATTATTTCGATCACTTTCCTTCACCAACCACCTGCTAAACGCTAATTAGGCATCCTTGGATCCTTAGGCAACGTCGCTGGTAGTGCTGCCGGCACCGTCGGAAAGGGCGTCTCGGGCGTCACCAACACGCTAGGGGATACGGTCGGTACCGTTGGCAAAGGTCTCGGTGATACCCTCACCGGAGTGACGAAGGGCCTTGGCGACACCACTAAGGGTGAGTGCTTCATCGTAAAAGATCATGGAACACCGGAGCTGATGACATGTAGGTGTCGGAAACACCGTTAACGCCGGAACCGACAAGGTCTCGGACACGGTGGGTGGCCAGAGCGACAAGAAATAGGGCAAGGGTTATGGGAGGAATAGTGATGGTATAATGATCATTATGTACTGAGGATGCGTGGAACCTGTAGTGCTAGCGTGTAATGATAAGTAATTCTCTCGCCACTAATGAACATATTCACGACACGGTGTATTACGATTTAAAATTCAAAACGTAATGCCCATACATCACCTGCAAACACCGTCTTCACAATTAAGGCGAATTGCCATTGTTTTTTTCTTCACCCCTATGTAACATCACTCATTGGTCCATTCGGGCTTCTTCTTTTCGGCGAAAGCGGTCATGCCTAGAACCCATCCGTCAGAGAGTACAGCGCAAATTGCAAGAAACACTTACCAATCTTCTGATCTTTACTTCCAAACAAGCTGTGAAAGACTCTCCGTTCAAATTCGACACCCTCCCTGATTCCCAGGTCCTGGCTCTTGTTAACCACCTCCTTGCCAGCCTTGACAGCTATCCTGCTGTAGCTGGCAATCTTGGCGGCAGTATCAATGGCACCATTGACGCACTCGTCGGCGGAGTCGAAGACCTTGGCGGCGAGGCCCCACTCGTAAGCCTGCTTCCCAGTAAAGTTGTCGCCGGTGAGGACAAGGTCCATGGCTTTCGCCTTGCCGATGGCGCGCGTCAGACGCTGAGATCCACCAGCACCGGGGATGACGCCGAGCTTGATCTCGGGCTGACCAAAGGTGGCGCTGGCGGAGCAGTACAAGATATCAGCCATCATAGCAAGCTCACAACCACCACCAAGGGCGTAGCCGTTAACGGCGGAGATGACGGGCTTCTTGATCTGAGAGGTCATGTCGGACCAGTTCTCGATGAAGTCGCGGCCGTAGGCGTCGGCGAAGGACTTGTCCTTCATCTCCTTGATGTCGGCGCCGGCGGCGAAAGCTTTGGCAGAGCCTGTGATGACAATGGCGCCCGTATCGGCGTCAGCGTCGAGCTTGCGCAAGGCATCGTTGAGCTCGGCGATGAGAGGGGAGAAGAGGGCGTTGAGGGCTTTGGGACGGTTCAGGGTGACTGAGGTGGGACATGATTGTTAGCATGGAATCAAGCACTGCTGGAGAACTGGTCCGTACCCAGTCCCACGCCAGGCTTTGGTGTGGAGACCTGAATGTGCTCATATGAGGGCAACGCGGCAGAATAGCATCGAACAAGGCGGGGAAAAGCAGGCGAGCGGACGAATTGAGAGGCGAGCCTCCGTGACGCGAGGAAGGAAGCCATTGTGTGTGCTGGGCCGTGAGGGAAGAGAAGGGCAGATGAGGGGCGGCGCAGAGCTCTGGTGGAGCTCAGCATGTGCTATTGCCGAGGGAAGCCGCCCTGCGTCATCGGCGCGGAGATGCCTGAACGGCAAGGCAGACACCGAGGCGTGCCTCAGGCAGCGAGGGGCACGGCCGTTTCAGGCGACTTGTCCAAAGTTGGGGGAGGCGCAACACCAGCCGCGCAGTTCGCAGTCGCGCCAGCGCCCGTTGAGCCATCCTCCCATCTCCGACAAAAAAAGGTTGCGTGTCTTGCTCAGCCACTCCACTTCCCACGGGCCGCCTTTGACTTTCGGCCGGCACGCACCATCTCTTGTACTCCTCATCCACCCTCCTTCCGTTTGCGCACCTTCATCGTCCACCCTCGTCGCCTGTCCGCTATCATGGACGCGCCTGAACCTGACACCCCCTTTGCCGCCGTGAGCGCGCAAACCACCAAGTATGGCCAGGTAATGACAGGTCCAGACGCTTGAATCAGGAATTGGCGCGCTCACCCACGCACCTCCAGATCTACCAAGCCTACCTCGACAAGTCGACGCCCTTCATCACGCAGCGCTGGATCGGCACCGCCGTGCTCTTCCTGATTTTCGGCCTGCGCATCGTGTTTGCGCAGGGCTGGTACATTGGTATGGGAATGCCGTATGGATTGGTTGCAAGCAAAGGCTGACGCGTGGCGCAGTTGCCTACTCGCTGGGAATTTACCTCCTGAACCTCTTCCTGGCCTTCATTTCGCCCAAATTCGACCCGGCGCTGGAGCAGGATGAGGGCATGGAGGACGGCACGGCCGGCGGCCTGCCCACCAAAGAGGAGGACGAGTTCCGCCCGTTCGTGAGGAGGCTGCCTGAGTTCAAGTTCTGGTACTCGGCCACCAAGGCCATCGCCATCGGCTTCTTCTGCACCTGGTTCCAGATGTTCGACCTGCCCGTCTTCTGGCCCGTCCTGGTCGTCTACTGGCTGATTCTCTTCTGCTTGACGAGTAAGTTTTTTTTTCGCCGGGGCTACAACGGCGGCTAACAAGTGCGCAGTGCGGAGGCAAATCCAGCATATGATCAAGTACCGCTACGTGCCCTTCACGGTCGGCAAGAAGCAGTTCCGCGCCAAATGAGCGCCGATGAGAGAGATGCGGAGCGAAAGCGGGCGACGCTTTTGCGGCAGATGGACTGCTGTACTCATACAACCGTTGGCTTAGCCTCAGCATAATTTGGAGTCGGGAGGGTATAATGCGCCATGGCCGTTGGTGGCAGCGTGTATGTGTATGTATGGACATGGAGTTATGAACAAGACTGGCTTGGATCAATCGACAGTCATCAATTACCGCCAAATTCTGCCTACCGTGCCGAGGAGACTTCAGTCTTCTGCGCCTACGTTGTTTGTGACTTTGATAGCTGACGAACAGTTACTTTGACTGCCTAGATGAGAAATTCGACTCGCAATTCACAGACTGCACCCCACGCGAGGATATGAGCAAGGATCACGGTATATGCACGTCCGTGACTTTAATTCTCCTACAGGAACAAAACGGAAGCGCTCAGGCGCTGCATCTGCGGCGCTGGGCTGGCGTGCTGACGGCGCGATAGGTGATTGGCTGGGCTATTACAGCGATCCCCCGCCGGGATGCCCCTCAACACCACGCGCCTGTGCACATGTCTCCACGAGGACCTGTAAGAGGTCCGTTCCTGGGCACTGCTTGCCTGCGCGATCAGCGTCACGCTAGCATCTCGCCGAAGCGTGCCAGAGAAGAGCCGCAACATGTGCTTCCAACAAGCTGCCCTCATTGGTGTTCTGTCTGGTCTCATGCCTTTCTGTCTTCCGTCTTCGCTCCATCATGCGCGCCGCGACTGTTTGCTCGGTGGCCGTGATATATCCATGCCTCGCTCCGTCTTGACCCTTCCGTCTGCCATCTCCCTCAGCATTCAACATGACGCTCGCCGAGCTCGGCGTCTTCCCGGCCATCAGCCTTCCTTTCAGTGCCGACGTTCAAGTTGCTCTTTTCCTCGTCGGCTATGTTGCCTTACTTGCCCTCATTCTTTACATTGGCTTCCGCTGGGACAAGCCCGGTAGGAAACAATCCGCCCGCTCGCCAAACGTAGTCGAAGCCTACATTCGCTTCATCTGGGGCTGCTTTGTCAAGCCTCACACAGGCGACCGCAATGGAAGCCAGCAGGATGCCCTGGAGAGTTTCTACAAGCAACAGGCCTCCGTCTACGATGCCACCCGCGCCAAGCTGCTCCACGGCCGTAACGACATGTTGGGTCTGGCCGCTGCGCAGTTGCAGCAAAAGGCCAATGCTGGGCTCTACTCACGCAAGCCCATCTGGATTGATGTAAGTTTTCTATGTTCCGTGCAATGAAAGTGACGGACTCGCGTCATGAATGTCAGGAGGATCCATCAGGGGGAGCTTGATCATGCTGACGCCGTGTAGGTTGGTGGTGGCACAGGCTGGAACATTGAGCAGATGGCCAAGTTCGTTGACGTCCCTGACTTTTTCCGTTCTGTCTACCTCGTCGACTTCTCGCCTTCCCTCTGTGACATCGCCAGAGCCCGGTTCGCGCGCCTAGGCTGGACCAACGTCAAAGTCATCTGCCAGGACGCGCGCACATTCCGGCTTGCCGACTACGAGTCGGCTGATGAGACGGCTCTGATCCCCTTGAGCCAGAACGACTACGTCTCAGGGGGCAAGTCGCACCCCATCGGTGCGGAACTCGTGACGATGAGCTATGCTCTGTCTATGATTCCCGAATTCTACCCCGTCATCGACTCGCTCTCCTCTTTGCTCTCCCTCAACGGTATAATTGGCGTCGTCGATTTCTATGTTCAGAGCAAGGTCGACTTCCAGAGCAGGAACTATGTTGGAGGCGTCATCGACAGACACTGCATGTGGCTCTCTCGTGTCTTCTGGAGGACATGGTTCGAAATCGACAGAGTGAACCTTGATCCAGCCCGAAGGGACTATCTCGAGTACAAGTTTGGGACCATCCTCAACGTCAACGCCCGCAACCATTTCCTTGGTGTCCGCATCCCTTATTACGTCTGGATTGGCTGCTCCAGAGAGAGTGGCTCCTCCCACGGGAAGCTTGCAGAGATTGACGCCGCTGCCACCGAATCGCCCTTCTTGTCTGCTCTTGACCTCCAGGCCAGGACCTCCGGTCGCCGCGATAGTGGCATGGAGCTTCATAGCAAAGCCTACGAATCCGCCGTCGTAAATCTCGCTGCCAGTCTCCCGCTGCCGGCCAGTTGGTACCAGAACCATCACTGGCGTATCTACTACGATGACCAGCTGGAGAAGCACCGCCAGTTCAAAGATGAATACATCTACGCCTTCACTTGGGAAGATAGCCGTGTCGATGCTCGCCTGCTTCAGGTGAACTCGAATGATGTCATTCTGGCAATAACGAGTGCTGGCGACAACATCCTGTCCTTTGCCCTGGAGAAGCCAAAGCGGATCCACGCTGTTGATCTAAAGTAGGTCCCTCAAGCCTCCCTTTTGCATCCATTCGTACCGAAGTCCTGACATCGTACAGCCCGAATCAGAACCACCTTCTTGAGCTCAAAGTTGCCGCTTTCACGGCCCTGCCTTATGCAGATGTATGGAAGCTTTTTGGTGAAGGCAAGCATGAGTCTTTCCGCGAATTACTCATCAGCAAGCTTTCACCGCACCTCTCCAGTCTTGCCTTCCAGTTCTGGTTACATCACGGAGAACAGGCCTTCTCAGCCTCTGGGAAAGGGCTGTATTCAACCGGTGGCTCGGGTTTTGCGCTCGCGTGGGTTGGACGTTTGCTACGCTTCATGGGTCTCGAGCAAGAAGTCGATAGGCTGTGCGCTGCAGAGACGTTGAACGAGCAGCGCGAGATCTGGCAGCGCAGTATCCGAAAGGTTCTGCTCAGCAGGCTCCTCGCATGGACGGTCATCGGCAACGAGAAATGGCTGTGGAAGGCTCTGGGTGTTCCGCCAAACCAGAGGAACATGATCGAGGAGGATTATGCGAAACTGAACGGAGAGGAGCAGTCTCAAAAGCGACAAGGAAGCCGAGCCTCGTCAAACGGTGCTCTTACCAGCGGCCTCATGTCCGGACATGCCATTTGGCAGTACGCCGTGAACACGCTCGATCCCGTCGTCAACAACACGCTGCTCAGCAACGACAACCACTATTACATGGTCTGCCTCAAGGGCCACTACACGCGCCGCTCGCACCCGGACTACCTCACGCCCAAGGCCCACATCAAGCTCTCCAAGTCCTCACCCTCGACGCCGTCTTCTCCACTCTCATCCCCCTTTTCTTCCCCAACCACCTCGCCTCGCCCCGACCACCACCACCACCACCACCACCACCACCACCACAACCCCTCCACCCTCGGCCCATCCCCCATCCCCGCCCCCTCACCACGCAGCACGAGCACCGCCTTCAACGGTCTACGCATCCACACCGACGAGATGAACGAGGTGCTGTCACGCATGGCGCCGGCGACCCTGACCATCGCCGTCGTCATGGACAGTATGGACTGGTTCGACCCGAACGCCCCCTCAGCCGCCACGGCGCAGATACGCGCGCTCAACCGCGCGCTGCGGGCCCGCGGCCGCGTGCTCCTGCGCTCCGCCTCGCTGCAGCCCTGGTACGTTGCCGTCTTCGAGCGCAACGGCTTCGCCGCCCGGCGCGTCGGCGCGAGGTGGCCGGGGGAGTGCATCGATCGCGTCAATATGTATGCGAGCACGTGGATCTGTACTAAGGTGGCTGAGGTGGCGGGCGGAGAAGAGGGAGAGGGGGAGCTGTCAAAGTGTGTTGTTGATGGGCTCGGGAGGCCGATGGAGAGGTTGGACATCTGAGCGGTGGGCCGGGGGAAGTATTGTTTGCTCGTGTTATGGCTTGATATCCTGGAGGTATGCTGTTTTCGATTTGTAGCTTCGTTTGTCGGTTTCTTGTTCTTGCGTTTCTTTCGGTAGTGGCATTAATTTCATTGGTCTTTTTTTCTCAGATAGACAAGAGAACGTGAATTTAGAGAGCATTTTTCCCTTACAAATCCGATTGAATGGCCAAGCTTGCAGAAGCAAGTGGCAACTGATGACTTGGTAATGGGTGGCAAAGGCTCATCCTGTGCCACAGATGCATTTGCAGACCCAACCACGAGAGTGAGATTTTGCATTTTATTTGGTTACTGTTCATTAAATTCATAGTAAACTACTGTTTCTGAGACTCAAAGTGACCACTGAGAGTTCACACTAAATTAACCAAACTAGAATTACAACGGCTCTAATTTTGTGTACTCGGTATCCACACGCATACAATTCGTTAGGAGGACCATAGGTTTGCACATGAGGCTATGACAACTGTGTGTGAGTAAATCTGCAGCTGTCAAAGCGAGTGTCATTGCCCGAGAACTGCTATATAAATCCTTCGACGGAACACTACACCGCTCCTCTTATAGAACAACTGCGACTGTAAATACGAGCAAACATAATCAACCAGATCCACGCGGGCTTCCACTATCTTTAAGCTCTTTGCTTCATTTTCAAATACTCAGACAGCAGTAATAATGCCAGGCCGCGGTTCTCAACCTCCTTACCCTGGTATGCCATATGCATGCAGAGGATGTCCATACCATGAGTAAACAAGGCCTTTCTTACGCAACACTTTCGTACGCTTCAAAAGCTAATCAATGATCATAGCTACATCCCCCCATACATTCCTGTTTACGTCGTCAGTAGTCTTGGAATCGACAACCAGGAGGCCAGTGACCAGGAAGCTACTCAGACTAGGGTCAGTGACGGTGAGGCCCAGCCTCCGCGTCTGCGCTCAAAATCACCACAGCCTGATCCGGCGAATTGAATAGCCAGGCTGAGGCTGTAATGATGGGTTGAAGCAGATTTCGACAGGCAGAAGCCGGAAATGGTGCTGATCAAGGAAACAAAAGTAGCCTACATAGGTAACTCAACTTACTTGGCTTTTTGACAAGCCTCACAACATTGTCAGTTGTGAAAAGAAGAGGTCGACGACGTTGATGCCCTACCTCCGAGAGCCGAATCATAGCCATTAACCATACCTTTTCATAGCAAAGACAAAGTGCTGTTTGAAAATGACTGTTATGTAGAAATGTTCAAGTGATAAAAAAAAGGTCTTAAATTGAATCAAAATCATTCGACGTGGGCTACCCTTTCACTCTGCTGTCAATGTTACTTGTGTAATTAATACTTCATTTAAAGTCACGATTCTGCGTAGCGTGTTGATTGGTCATGACAAAGTGGTTTTGGATTCCATGGGGTCTGGTCGATCCTCTATTATAGCCTTCCAGAATGCGGCACGTGTAAATGCCAGCCTACTCGCGATCGAAAACATGGTTTAGCTGAACATGTTGATCGTCTCCTTCTTCTTGGCCTGCACTTCGAGAATAGCATCGACGTAGTGCTCGTGGCTGATCTTGTTCTGGCCCGAGCGCAGGGCAATCATACCAGCCTCGACGCAAACAGCCTTGAGCTGGGCACCGCCGAACTCGTCGGTACTGCGGGCCAATTCGGCCCAGTTGACCTTGTCATCGACCGTCATCTTTCGGCTGTGGATACGCAGAATCTGTGCGCGAGCCTCCTCGTTGGGCAGGGGGAATTCGATCTTGCGGTCTAGACGGCCGGAACGCAGCAGGGCGGGGTCAAGGACGTCGACACGGTTGGTGGCGGCAAGAACCTTGACGCGGTCGTCGGAGGCAAAACCGTCGAGTTGGTTGAGCAGCTCCAACATGGTTCTCTGGACTTCTCTGTCACCAGACTTTTCCGAATCGAAACGCTTGGTGCCGACGGCGTCGAGCTCGTCGATGAAGATGATGGAGGGCGCCTTCTCCTTGGCCAGGGCAAAGCAGTCGCGCACCAGCTTGGCGCCGTCACCAATGAACATTTGCACGAGTTGTGGGCCGGCGAGCTTGAGGAAGGTTGCGTCGGTTTGGGCGGCGCATGCACGGGCAAGCAGCGTCTTGCCGGTACCGGGAGGGCCGTACATCAATGCGCCTGGGAGGGGTGTTAGCAGTTTTACGGACATTTTGGGGCGAGGATGGTACCTTTGGGTGCCTTGATGCCAATCTTCTTGAAACGCTCAGCCTCCTTCATCGGCCAGACGACGGCTTCGACCAGCTCCTCGATCTGCTTGTCCAGGCCTCCGACATCCGTGTACTTCTCGGTGGGCTTCTCATCGACCTCCATAGCCTTCACTCTGCTGTCGTACTCGGCAGGCAGCGTGTCCAAGACAAGGTAGGAATCCTTGTTGACTCCGATAAGGTCGCCGGGCTTCAGCTTCTCGTGGTCGACTAGGCCGATGAGCGGCAGGAAGATGGTCTGGCGTGTTGAGGTCTTGATGACGGCGGACTTGCCGACGCGGGTGGCGTCCAGGTCGATGTTGGCGCCCTCTTCAGCGGCCTCGGCCGTCACGTCTAGATCGAGGATCTCGACGACGTTGCCGACGAGGTAGGGTAATTGCCTGGCGGGATTAGCGCGTCTCGGTGGACCGGGGGGGCGTGGGCGTACCTGTTGTTCTCAATCTTGTCCATGTTGTCCTTGATTTTCTCGTGCATGGTGGCCTTCTCGTGGGTTAACCGCTGGAACTCGCTCTTCATGATGCGCATGTCATTCTCCAGCAAGCGGCGGCGGGCGATGATGTCGCGGGTGCTCGAGTTGAGGATGTCGGCGTCCAGCACGTCGTCGTCCTTGTTGGTGTCTTCGGCATCCTTCATCTCAGAATCAGTGGGCTTCTTGCCGTCCTGGTCCTTGTCGCCCTCGTCCTTCCTCTCGTCCTTGCCCGAGCGCTCAATGTCATCGAGATCCTCTAGCGTCGACATGGTGGCGGCAAGGTGTGCGGCGGGGTTTGGGTGCGGGCGAAGCTGGCGGTTGAAGAGGCGGGCAGAGCAAGCTGATGCGGAGCACGGAAGGAGGGAGGAGGCGGAGGAGGAAGCTGGGTAGGCAGAGGTGGTGTTGTGGGTGTAGAGCTGCTGACGATTGCCCGTGGAGCTCCCGGCGGGTCTTGGCGCTGATTATGTCATCGGCACAACATCACGGCAAGGCATTTCCATTGACACTACATACTCTACAACACGCTCCCTCCATCCGGCAGATTCAGAGTGCGGTAACGCGACATGAAGTCGTCGTAGTTGACTGCGCGCCATGTCAGCTGTGCTAGCGGGAGACGGGGTGGCGAACTTACTGTAGCCGCCGCAGAGCCTGCGCTTGCCTGTGAAGGCCGAGCGGCCGTGGAGGACGCGCCAGTTGTCGAAGATCAAAGGCCGGCCCGGCTTCAGCTGCTCCCAGTACTCGTTCTCGGCCGCTTTCAGCAGCTCGGACCATTTCCGGGCCGCCCAATACCACCTTTTCGTGGAGGGCAGCGGCATGCGCAGCGTTGCCCTGTCCGAGTTGTTCCATCGGACCTGGACGAGCCTGACTCCCTGGTGGATGAAGACGGGAAGGGGGGCCTGAGGCACGATGCTGATGCCCTCGTTGCCACTGGCGTGGCTGCCGACTGGAATCTGGCTCAGTACCGCGTACGCTTCGGGCTCCTTCTCCTTGAGCTCCATGGCAACCTTGAATCCGTCGACCAGCAGCGAGGCGCCGCCGTCGCCGTCGGTGTGAGAGAGCAGGTGGAACATCTGCAGCCCCGAAGGGTCGCTAAAGTACGTGTTGTCCGTGTGTGCCTCCAGAGCGATGGACGTGTAGGCCGTGTCTTTGGAGGCAAGGTCGGATGTAAAGTCCCAGAAGCCGCCGTAGTGCGTGTGGCGGATGAAGGCAATGCGCTCCAGCAGCTTCTGCGTTGCTTCTGGCGTCGCCGGGCAGCCGTCGACGTAGGCGAAGCCGTATTTCCGAATCAAGCCTGTCCACTCGCCCACGCCCTCGTCCGACTGCATCACCACCTCGTACTCGACCGACGGCGGCCTGTCCTTGATCGACCTGTCCCAGAGCGCCGGCCTGGGGCGTGTCAGCTTGGAATAAAAGGTTTAGTGGTTGACGCACGTGTAATCTCCCTGCTGCACAGCGTCGTGGTTGAGGTAAGACGCTTGTTTGCGGAGGAAATCCTTGCTGAAGCGGCTACGGTGGCCATCGCTGACTGTTCTCGTCAGTCTCGCGCCGGGGCTGAAGAAATGCTCCGTCCTTACAGACTACGTCGATCCCATCGTCGACTTCTTCGCATTCGGACAAGCTGATGTCGTCGGGGATCTGCAACTCGTCAGCATCCGACGGCCGTCAGGGAAGCATTCGGAGATACCGCAAAAGTATCGACCAGCCGCTGCTTCGTCTCGGCGTGCACACACTCGGAGCACCGGCAGTGGTCCCTTAACCATAGCGCTGGTCTGTCTTTGGAGTTAGCAATTCCTGGCTCGACTCATTGCATGCTGCCTTCTCACATTTCGCCCGTGTCTTTGTCAGTGGCGCTCGTGCGCGTCCAAATGCCCTTGTCCCGAACAAACACATCCAACATCTGGCCCCTCTCGAGTTCTACCTGCTTCTTCTTGATCCCACTTAGCCTCCTCTCTTTTTCCGTCTTCTCATGAAGAAATGCGCGGTTAAGAACATGCTGAGATAGCAAAGCGGACCGTCTGCGCATGCTAAAAGCATACCGCCCACCGAGCGTCAGCCGCCCAATTGCTGGCTTGAACATAATGAAAGTGATGGAGCCTGAGTGAAGAGTGATGGTCTGATGTTGTGGCGCCTCTCTCGGTCCTCGGCTGTTGGACCAGAGGAAACACGGATCCCTGATGCCCTGCTAATTATTGGCAAATTGAATATATATAACACACCAGCGGCTGATTGTCTCCATCGCGCAGTGGATTAGCAATTCACTTCAAGATTGCCTATGATCGGTGAGGTGGCCGAGTTGGTTATGGCGCCAGGTTAAGGTGTTAGCTTAACAAGTTTCCTGGTGGGGCAACCCGCGCGAGTTCGAGTCTCGTCCTCATCATTATCTTTTTTTTTTGCGTGTTACATCACATTTCATTGCTCTATCAGTCGACATCCGGAACTGGCAGACCGTTCCAAAGCTTCATTTTCCTTCCTTGGGCCTCCATTGCCTCCATGGCCTTCTTCTCCCGCAACTGCTTTGCTTCGTCTTCGGTGACGAGGACAAAATCGTACTTCATGAGTTTACTGCCTTCCTTTACGCCATATTTTTTAGCGTCTGCAGCATCGACCGTGTGCAAATCCACGAGCAGGGTTTCCTTGACGCCGAAAACGGCATCGGAAGTCTCGTAGGGATCGTTGCGAAGATAAAGAGCACTACACAGACAGAGGTCAATGCGAGTGCATGGCAGAGAAGATGGCGACTTACGTGATCAGGTTGTCGAAACCCTCCTTGGCGAACATGAAATGCATGTGGCTTGGGCGGTAGGGGTGTCTCTTCAGCACCTTCAACAGCTTCCCCACCGGACCGTCGTGCGGAATGGGGTAGGGCACGGGAACGATGGCCTTGAACCAGAAGATGCCGTCCTTGTCGCTCACCAGCACAGCCCTCCCGTCGGGCTCCTTGCGGTCCTTGTACTGCACGTCGTAGAAGCCCTTGGAGTCGGTTTCCCAGACGTCGATCTTGACACCCTCGATGGGGTTGCCAGCCGTGTCTTTGACCGAGCAGAGGACAAGACAGGGCTCGCCGTCGGGATCATGGGAGATGACGGAGCCGTTGGCCTCGCCGTGGGCATCTAGGGTGTGGAAGGGGCCGAGCACGGTGCCTTCGGTGCTGTGGGGCGGCTTGGGGTGGTCGATGCTGTCTACGAGCAGCGAGAGGCCGATGATGTCGGAGAGGAGGATGAATTCCTGGCGTACATCGCTGCAGATCTGGCCGACTTCGGTCAGGAATTGGATGCCCGTCATCCACTCATCAGTGCTCAGCCGTGTTTCGCGCGCAAAGTCGTGGGCATGGACGACGAGGCGCTCCAGGATGTATTTCAGGCGCGGGTTGGGGCAGCGCGAGTTGATCAGGTGCACATTGTCGGTGATGTTGTCGATGGTGAGATCTTTCAACGGAGGAATATCGACCTGAGATGGATCCATGTTTTTTCACTTGCGGGCAATTGCCATGTATTCAATGGGCGCGGTTCGCGTACTAATAGCTTTTTTCCTACAGGTGCCGCTTGACCCCGCCCCCGCATTGAAGGCGTCGGAGCTGGAAGTCGGGAGCTGTGGGCCTATCTTAATTCCGAGACATGACCAATTGCTGATGAATTGAACAACGTGAGCTGCAGGGGCATCCGAGTGATGACGAACCCCCACATGCCCCGCCGGAAGCCTTCCGCTGCAAAATGTCGTGGCCAGCGTCTTAGTTGGCGATCTTCAGGTGCTTGGCGGCAAAGTCAATGGCTGCCGTGTAGCCGTAGGTGCCCAGTCCGCAGATGACGGCCTCGGCCTTGTCGCTCAGGTAGCTGTGGTGGCGGAAAGCCTCGCGCTTGTGGATGTTGGTGATGTGCACCTCGACGAACGGGATGCTGACGCCGAGCAGAGCATCGCGCAGCGCCACGCTGGTGTGTGTGAAGGCTCCCGGGTTGATGACAATCGCATCCACCTTGCCGCGCGCCTCGTGGATGCGGTCTACGATGGCTCCCTCCCAGTTCGACTGGTAATCCTCGACTTCGATGCCCAGCGCCGACCCTTGCTGCTTGGCCTGCTCGACTACCATTGGAAGCGTCGTTGATCCATAGATGTGCGGCTCACGCGTGCCGAGGAGATTGAGGTTGACTCCGTTGATGAGAAGGATGCGTTTGGCCATGGTGGTGGTTGTAGTTGGATAGAGCATCCATTGAGAGAAAGCTAGTTGATGATTATAGCTTGGGAACACCCGGCTAAACTCTCTTCCCCGCTGCCGATCCACATCCTCGGCTTAACAGACGCTCAATTGCGACACAAACATGTCGAGAAATCGTCTTTCGACGAGCCGGATGATGTAAGAGAAAATACTGGGGCAGATATTGTGCCATGGACAACAGTTGAGCGGTGGGGGCACTCGGACGAGAGACGCATGCGGATAGCAAAAGGCGATGCAAATGTGGGGGATTGTCGGCGAAACCAGCCCGGCTTCCTGCGGCACATGGAGCTCGCTGACTGTCTCGTCCAGATAACGCTGCCTTCTTCGTGTCATTCCCATCCCCAAACCAGCATCTCGTCCCAACTTTGCCATCCCACCACAAGACTCCCATAGCAGCTGCAGTCATGGCTGCCAACTTGAGCTCAAAGGAGCTGGACGACATCTACTCGTTCGCTATCCAGCTTGGCAAGGATGCCGGCAAAATGCTACTGGAAGCTGCCATGCTACGCTGCAAGGGCGGAATCGCCGAAAACACAGCCCACGTGGAGAAGATGAACGCCGTTGATCTGGTAACCCAAACCGATGAAGGTAAGGCCAGCGTAGCGAGTCGGGCATAGCACGTGGAGCTTTGCCCCTCTTCGGCACAAGGTTTCAGCTCTATTGCCCTGCCTGTCATTGGTCCACCTGCGGCTCTGTGCTTTCTTGATGACCAACCCTTAATTCTTGTCTCGAGCGTACACTAAGCAGTCTTTACAGATGTCGAGGCCTTTGTCAAGAACAGCATCACCAAAAAGTTCCCTGCGCACAAGTCAGAAGCCAAGCCTTCCAGTGATGCTCATCCGCTGACACTTTGCTCAGATTCATTGGAGAGGAGACTTATTCCAAAGGCACCTCGAAAGACTACCTCGTCAACGAAGAGCCAACATGGATCGTCGACCCGCTTGACGGTACGTCCTTGCTCAGCTCGCTCATTTAGCTATCACTTACCCTTGGTGCTACACAGGAACGGTGAACTACATTCATCTGTTCCCCATGTTCTGCGTCTCGATCGCTTTCGTTCACAACCATGTCCCGACCATCGGTGTCATCTACGCTCCCTTTCTCAACCAGCTTTTCACCGCCTGTCGCGGCCGCGGAGCTTGGCTCAATGAGACGCAGCAACTGCCCCTGATCCGGAACCCCATTCCCCCAATGCCGGCCAAGGCTCCTTCAGGTTGTGTCTTCAGTTGTGAATGGGGCAAGGACCGCCGGGATTCACCCGAGGGTAACATGCACAGAAAGATAGAGAGCTTCGTGAACATGGCAGCCGAGGTTGGCGGAAGAGGAGGAAAGGGTGGCATGGTTCACGGCGTGCGCAGTCTGGGAAGGTAAGTTGAACCATGTAGCTCGTTGACCTTTTGAAGTGAAAAACACGTAGGAGTGAAACGTGAATGAGAGGGAGGCCCGAAGAAATCGTTGCTGACACGGAGAATCCGTAGTGCCACACTCGATCTGGCCTACACGGCCATGGGGTCTTTCGACATATGGTGGGAAGGCGGATGTTGGGAATGGGATGTTGCTGCCGGCATTTGCATTCTGCAGGAAGCCGGTGGACTCGTCACCACCGCCAACCCGCCCGAGAACCCGGCCACTGCGACTATTGAGGACGTCAGGCTCGGCTCAAGGCTATACCTCGCAATCCGGTAAGTTCCCTCGAAACATCCAAAGACTGTTTCCACGGTGGGGATGGGGAGCTTGGCAGTCGACGAGACCAACGGTGGTGTGTGCTGTGCACTATCCGAGTGTAAAGGTTTATCCGTTACGGATTGCCCTGTTTCGCCCTTGCTCCTCGTTGGGGTTGACCTGGGCGGGCCACGCGCGTCCTTCCAGGCACCCAACCATCCCCCCGGCGGGAAAACGTCTATCAGAGCGCGGAACCATCTCCACGGGACACATGTTGCTGACACACTGAATCATCTAGTCCTGCCGGGCCTTCCGAAAATGGCGAGAGTGGCAGAGAAAGCCAGGAGCGCACTGTTAGGGAGGTCTGGCGAAGGGTGAGGCACCTTGATTACACGAGGCCTGGTGCGTGAGGAGCGGCAGCCCAGCACTTCCCACGGTTCATAGAGCAAATTAAGACATCTATTCAGATAAACGCCATCTATCCCGAGGAGAAAACATTGCCATGATTACGCCGTGTCTCCAGGCTGCCTCTTCGCCGCCAACTGGACGAGAGCGCCACTCCCCCCTTTTTTCTGACGCACTTGGCCAGCACCTGCAGCCAATACCGCCGGGTCTAATGACGAAACTGGGTTCGGCCGATGGCTGCTTTGCCGCATTGCGCCCCTGCCAGGCTGAGCGATCCACTAGTGCCACCTTCTCCACCTCAACAATCTAGTGATTCGAGTGGCCATTTGCCAACTTGTTCGCCTCGGCTAGCTTGGCGGCGATAACCGCTTTGACCTTCTCCACTGGCAGCTCGGAGACTTCCTTGCCGGTCCAGTACTTATCCTGTGCAGAAAGGGAAAGTCAGCCGTCTGTGGCGTCTGGGGGAAAAGTGCAAATCCGGGGAACAGTTGAAGCAACGCTCGGAGATAATGGAAGCAACGTACCTGCTCGAGACCCTGGTAAATCATGGCCTCGGTTCCAAGAATAACCTGCCAGCCCGCCTTCTCCGAAACCTCAGCAATCTCGGTCCAGGGCGACGGGTGGTAGCACATCTCGAGCACGGCGCCCTTGTGCTCCTTGTTCAGCATCGTCTCCAGCACCGCGCGCGCCTGGATCTCCTTGTCCGTCTTCGGGGGGAAGTTGGGCACGCAGGCGACCACGGCGCCGGGGCCTTCCAGGGCCTGGGCCTGCTCCACCGTCTTCACGTGGATGAGCCCGTCGCCGAAACCGCGAGCCTTGCACTCGTTGATGACTGCCTCGACCTCGGCGTCGTCGCGGTTCACAATGTAAATCGACTTGGCCTTCATCCACTTGCGCAGGGCGTACACGGCCGAGCGCGCCGCACCGCCGCCGCCGACGATGAGACCGGGCCGGTTGTGGAAGCTGGCGTCGGCGTCCGAAATGTTCTGGTAAAAGGCGTCTCGGATGCCGACGACGTCGGTGTTGGTGCCGGTGAAAATGCGCCGGCCGGTTTCTGGGTCTGTGCGGATGAAAAGCGTGTTGCAGGCTCCGACTTCGCGGCCCTCCTCGGTGATGTCGTCGAGATGTTTTAGGATGGCTACTTTGTGCGGCATCGTCACCGAGGCGCCTGGAGAGGGTTAGCACTGGAAGAGCTTGAGGCCTGCTTGTTCGCGAGCTGCTCGACTGACCGTAGAATCTGGGGTCCTTTATCCGCTCGAGGAAGTCGAGCATGTCTGTGGAATCAAGGTACAGCTGCTCCCAGTTCAGACCAATGCCATCATACACGGTCTGGTGCAGCAAAGGGGACATGGAGTGCGCGATGGGGTGACCGAAGAGGTAGCCAATGCGCTCGCGGCTGGGAGACGGGTCGGTGACGGTCATTGTGGCGTATAGAGCAGTGTGGATTGCACGGCTGGTGTTGATCAAGGCAGTGTATAGCTGGGAAAGATGGGGATAGAGCGGATTGAAATCTAGAGAGTAAGTGGAAGAGAAAAGAGCCGGGCCAGACAGTTTTACGCGAGGGCCGTCTTCTCCACACTTGCGAGAGCTATCGTGCAAGGCATTTCGGCTTACGCTGTGATCTCCAATCCGAGACGAACGGCAGGTAAGTCGAGTGGCGTTGGCGCGTGGGGAATGCGTAAAGATTCATCCATCGGCAGTTGCCCTTGCAGCCGACGCCGGCCGAGCGCCGACTGACAGGGGGCCCCAATCGTGACGGCGCCGATTGGCACCCGCCTGGCGCAGGGAAGTTTTCTCTTCCCCACAACCCAATGCCCCGGATAGCCCGTTAGTCCCCAGATCCGGGGGCGTTGCCCTGTACCTCACCATGCATCTTGGCCTCGTCGCGCCCATTGCGCCCACCCACTGATAAATAGTCCTCTTCCACCGGCCCTGCCTCTTCCTGCATCATCTCCATCCTCCACCACCTCCCAGAGTCTTGATCCTTGCCTCTCGGCCCTTTGCCAGAGGAGCTTGAAGAGTTTTCTCCGGCTTCGGTCCCTTCACCTCGAAGTACCATCCACGCCACCATGGGTTTCCTCACCCTTGTCGAGGACAGGCCGACGCCTAAGGCTGTCTACAACTGGCGTGTCTACGCTTGTGCCTGCATTGCCTCGTTCGCCTCGTGCACCATCGGCTATGACAGCGCCTTCATTGGAACCACCCTGGCCCTGCCTTCCTTCGTCGACGAGTTCAAGTTCGATTCCATGAGCGCGTCGCACCTGGCTCTGGTCAAGGCAAACATCGTCTCCGTCTACCAGGCCGGCGCCTTCTTCGGTTCTCTTTTCGCCTACGTCAGCAGTTACTTCTGGGGCCGTCGCATTTCCCTGCAGCTCTTCTCCCTGGTTTTCATCCTGGGTGCCGGTATGATGCTGGGCGCCAATGGCGACCGTGGCCTCGGTCTCATTATTGCCGGTCGCGTTCTTGCCGGCATCGGCATTGGTGGCTCCTCGAACATGACCCCCATCTACATTGCCGAACTTGCCCCGCCCGCTGTCCGTGGCCGCCTCGTTGGTATTTACGAGGCCGGCTGGCAGATTGGAGGTCTTGTTGGCTTCTGGATCAACTATGGACTCGACGAGACCATGGCCCCTAGCCACAAACAGTGGCTGATTCCTTTCGCCGTCCAGCTCATTCCCGCCGGCTTGCTTCTCTTTGGATCTGTTTGGATCCGCGAGTCTCCTCGCTGGCTTTTCCAGAAGGGCAGGCGTGAGGAAGCCATGCGCAACCTGTGCTGGATCAGGAATCTTCCCGCTGATGACTTGTACATTGTCGAGGAGGTTGCTTTCATCGATGCCGCGCTCGAGGAGCAACGCACCACCATCGGCCTCGGTTTTTGGAAGCCCTTCCAGGTAACTACCATCATTACCCATCTTGAATTTCTGCTAATTCGATTTCTAGACTGTTGGTCGCTCGCGGAAAGTGCAGTGGCGCTTGTTCCTTGGCGGAATGCTCTTCTTGGTGCGTCTCAACCCACCCCCCCTTTTCACCCCCCAACCCACAACCCACGATCCCCACAACACATTAACAATCTATTAACACACTATCCAGCTTCAAAACGGCAGCGGGATCAATGCTATCAATTACTATTCTCCCACGGTATTCAAGTCCATCGGTCTGAACGGTACCAATGCCGCCTTCCTGACGACCGGCATTTTCGGTGTCGTCAAGACCGTCGTTACCTTCATTTGGCTCTTTTTCCTCATCGAACAGGTCGGCCGCCGCATGCTGTTGATGATTGGTGCTATTGGAGGCTCGGGATGCATGTGGTTCATTGGCGCTTACATTAAGCTTGCCAATGTCTCTTCCGACACTGCATCCGCAAATGCCGGCAAAGGCCTTAGCGGCGGTGGAATTGCTGCTATTTTCTTCTTTTATCTCTGGACTGCGTTCTACACGCCTTCTTGGGTAAGTCAAAACGTCAAAATAACCTTAAATCGCCTAAAACTCAACCCCCTCCCAAACCGTCACCACCCCCTCCACCACCACCACCATCCACCACAACCTTTTATACACTTCTAGATGCTAATAAACACGCAGAATGGCGTCCCTTGGGTAATCAACAGCGAGATATTCGACACGAGCACGCGTTCTTTGGGCCAGGCGTCCGCTGCGGCCAACAACTGGTTCTGGAATTTCATTATCAGCCGCTTCACTCCCCAAATGTTCCTCAAGATGGAGTACGGAGTGTACTTCTTCTTCGCGTCGCTCATGATCCTGTCCTCCATCTTTGTTTACTTCTTGGTCCCGGAAACCAAGGGTGTTCCCTTGGAGGCTATGGATCGCCTCTTCGAGATCAAGCCTGTCAGCAAGGCTCACCCGACTATTATTCAGGAGCTCAGGGAGCAAGAAGAGAGCTTCAGGCACGACGCCGAAGGTGCTGGACTTACTACAGAAAAGACCAAGGAGCAGTTCATTGAGAAGGTGGACAGCAACGTTTGAGCGGAGAGGGGTTTGCGGCCTGAGATACCAACGAAGTGTTCTATTTCACCTGATGGATTACATATTCACGAAGATATGCTTTGTCAATGAATTTACTTTCTAATCTAATATGCTTCTTACGGCGTGGCATGAAAAGCAATATCTCCTCCGCGATGCAGATCCACTCCCACGTCCACTCCCACCTCCTCAGACGCTTATCGGAGCTTATCTATTGATCGAAAAGTCAACACCATTAGTGGTTGGATGTCAGCGAGGGATGATAGATGGCAAATTCCCTAATAAGTAATGCGCTAAGCCAAGTGGGTGTGGTAGTGGAGGTGAGAGTGGAGAGAGATGCCTGCAACGCGATCGCCAAGACTCGGGTCTTGTACGTAGAGTCATTGGTTACATCTTTTTCCAGATCGCTTCTCGCATACTTGGGGGCGGGGGCTCAAGTGCTGTGGTTGGGCTGGGTCGCGCCTTCTCCATCTGGCAGCCATGCACGGGCCTCGCGACCACCTGCCAACTTTGCAACCTTTCCTCTCGTTCTTCTTTATCCTTCGCCCTACCGTCATCTACCTTCTGCCTGACTCCAATCCAAACCATCGCACATGTCGGTTCCACGGCCTCGCACTGTCAATCTCCCACCAAACTGGCCCGCCGGCTACCCTTCTGTAGTCAACAAGGATGAGCGCCACATCCAGCAGGACTCCTTCACCTTGCATCGGGGTCATTACGGTGTCATCATTGAGACAGAGGACTTCGACGATGGAACGACCATCGTGAAGGTAAGTTGCAAAGCGGCGATTGTTGCGAGCTCGCAACAATCGCCGCTTTGCACCATCGCTCTCACCTTCGCTCCAATATTTTGGAAAGATACATGCGAGAGTACAAACTGAAAATATTACTTGAGGGATGAGGTGAAGCTAACGTCCGGACGTGTTTGTTTCCATTTATTTTTGACAAAGATGTCCGGACGTTAGCTTCAAATCCCCCCTCAAGTTATATTTTTTCTCGCTTGCAACCTTATCTGTATCTGCCCAGCAATTGAAACGAGAATATCCGGGCATTAGCTTCAACTCCCCCCTTCAAGCCGCATATTTACTAATCTGTCATTCAATACTAGGTAGCGCGATCGACTGCATAGCAACATTGTCAAGCCTGACGACATTGACACCGGCACTTCTCACCCCTACGGTTCCGCTCGCCCGCCCCAGGCTCCGGTATCAGCATCTGGACCCAGGGACCGCCCACGGGATCCAATGGAGCCCGTCATGTCCGAGGTCCTCATCCTCCGCGGCGGCCGCCTCGTCCTCTGCCGCCACCACCACTTCCTCCCCCTCCTCCTCCTCCTCCTCCTCCTCCTCCTCCCAGCCCTCTGGACCAGCCGCCCCCCTGGCCCCCAAGAAGTCGACTAGCAGTGACCCTGGCTCTGGCCAAATGAGGGTTAACGACATGTTTGCACGTGCGCCGCCGCCGCCGCCACCGCCACCACTACCTCCTCCTAGTCTTCTGGGCCAGCCGCTCCCCTGACTTCCAAAAATTCGACCAACAAGTCGACTAAGAAGTCGGCTGCAAGTGGCCCCGGCTCCGGCTTTGGCCGGATCGATGAGATGTTTGCGCGCGCACGCGCGAAGCCCGCCGCCGCCTCCTCCTCCTCTGCCGCCGCCGCTCCTCCGCCCATCACCTCCCAGTCCTCTGGGCCAGCCGCCCCCCCCCCCCCCCCCCC